TCTGGGGGAAAAAAAGAGCAGCTGGCAGATGAAGACAGATGTAATGCATGTGTATGTAGATGTCTCAAGCTCCAGTTATCTATGATGGAACCCAGGGAGCTGTTATGCTTGACCCTACAGTTGTATATAAACGTGTGTCCATATTTGTTAGGTCATCTCACTAGTTTCTTCCTCCGTTAAATGTGTTGAATAGCTCTCTATTGGTAGTCATTGGGGAGTAGACACCTACATGTAAGAGTTTGGTTATTTTTTAAACCTCAGGTGGGAGCCTTCAGCATGTTGAGAGAATATCTTTGAAAGCATTTAGGTTTTTTTGCTAGTGAGTAAGGCAAACACCACTTTTCAAAATGTCTTGTCACACTGCACATCTTCATTAGATGAGGTTTGTGCGGAGGGTGAAGAAAAAAACATTACAAGTAAGACAATATTCTGAGAAGGCTGAAGTTTTCAGAAGTATAATTTTACACCATAGAATCCATTCCATCCTATACATTAACTTTTCTGTTAGGTAAACTATTTCTGAGACAGTTTTAAAATAGTCTGAGGATTAGGAGGGCTGTACGGTAGCCTGTGGTCAGCCTGATTGCATGCTGTGTGCCTGTAGGTCTGTGCCCCTGCTCTCCCCAGGCAGCATGTTTCCATGTGGGAGGCCAAAGTTCTTCCAATGGTTAATAGCCCTGTAAACTATATTGGTACAATAAAAAGAAATATGGTAGTTCTTGTAGTGAGAGTTGCCTTCTAGTGTTGCTTTTAGCATCCTGGCATATTTCTCAAAGAGTACTGTATTAATGATTTGTATGAATATTAATGGCATTATAACTCAAGGTGAGGCAAGACACTTTCCTATGAAGTGGCTACGTAGCAATTTCTGTTCTGCTCCGAGTGAAACCGGTGTGTTTTGGAGTCTTCACACTGAGGAAGGCCTGTCCCGCTGTGATCATCGTGGTGCTGTGGAGGTGCTGGGTGCTAGGCATGGCATCCACCTGAGGGAGAAGTGTTGCCCTTGGGATCAGAAAACTGAGATTTGAAGTTTAGCACCTCTCTCATTCTCGTTGGAATGCCTTGGTTGCTGAGCCAGGGGCTATTTTGGGCTGTAAATTGTGTGCGGACTTTGAGTGGCTTGTTTGTGCAGGTATATGGGGTTTTGGTTTGGACTTCTGTTCTTTTTTTACTCTCCTTGCTCTGTTTTGCTTCAGCAATTGTGTGGTCATCTCAAGAGCTCTTTCCTGATAAACGCTTGTGCATGTAGTGGTTGTGGCTTGATTTTTATTTTCCATTAACTGACAGGCGTCTGCAAAAAGCTTTGGATTCAATAAATTGTCATTTCCTGATGGAACGATTCTGTATTTATAAAAGTAAACCCCAACTAGTCATCCTTTAACTTCTTTTGGGCTCTGGTCTTCCTGTGTAAAGCAAAAGATAAAGCCCAATTAGAAACACCAATTAGGGAGTTACAAGTTACGGTGCAGTGCTGCAGGGGCTGTAAGTGATGTCTTTGCTTTTATTAAATGAAGAATATGAATTGTCTTTTGCTTCTCTGTGGCTGTGCTTTATGCAGAGTAGCTCCTAAATGCATTTTGAAATGATACCTACCAAGTGTCTCTTGGCAAGTACAGCCTTTTGAAAAGCAGAACTGCTCATGTTTTATATGATAGCTTCCTTCTTCAAATACAAGAACATTGCTCGTGTGATTGCTGCTTCTGTAAAGGAGCCAGTTCATTAAGGGGACCAAGAGCAGGCTTACTGGGAAGGACACCTCAGCTCCCCCAAGTTGCGGTGACCAGAGTTACATCCGTGCAGTCTCCTCTTTATCCAGGGCAGGCATGGTCCCGATGTAGGAATACCTTGCACTTGATATAAATTCCTGCAAACTAACAAAAATGCTTAGAAGATTTAAGCGTCTCGGACCACAAGGTTTATTCCCCTCTTTCTCCTTCTCACACATTTGTCTTTAGATTAGTAAAATACACTTTTGCGTATATTGTCAAAATTAATCTCAGGATGATGCTTAGAGAGAGATATGTTTTATGACTGTATTTTTTTTTTTTTTTTAAAAGCGGTAAAGCGAGAGACCCACCAACCCAAGTCTGCCTTGTCACCTGGGGCTATTAGCTGCAGGCCCAGGAGAGCTTTACACTTCTGTCTGTTACTGTCTGGTACCCAGGGAGATCCTGATGATTCTGGTTTTCTTACTATAAAGAGAAATAAATTAACGCTGCTGACATTAGACTAGACATCTGAATATCATCAGCCGGCGAGCCACAGCCGGGCCCCGAATCGGGTGGTTTAAGGCTCTGATGTGCGAGTGGCGGTGCCTGCAGCTGCCGGGGCCGGCGTTCGTGCCCACCCAGGCTCTGCTCGGCAAGGATGACGTTTTCCCTGGCGAGGATGCCCCGGTGTGGAAGGGTGATGTCTTGCTCTGTTAGAGCTCGTGCGTCAGACTTCGAGGAAGCGTTGCGTTGGAGCAAGGGTGTGCGTGAGAGCTGCAGCCCAGCACCGACTTCCTCACGTGTGAGGCCAGCCGTGGTCGTGGCCGTGCTGGTGGGGGGGCTGGGGCTGGTGGGTGATGCGCTTTTTACCCCTGCCCATGTGAGGAGAAGGTGTTTTCTACCATAAAGAGGAGGTTTTGTGTGTGCTTCGCCGCTCTGGCAGTAACAGCACTCCTGCCTCTACAGAGCTCCCATCCACTCTGTTTGCTGGTGGCCGCAGCACGTTCCCTTGGCTTGGCAGCTCTGCCCTGCCTTGGGCTCCTCGTCCTTGCAGCCGCTGCCTGCAGATCTGCCGGCCTGGGAAATCTTGGGCTGGCTTTGCCTAATAATTGAGACAAATGATTGATTGCTGTCCCCTCAGGCTAATTGCACATATAATCTATTCTTTCCTCTTCTCCAGGACTCCTATTTTCACAGAATAAAACCCAAGCACAAAAAAACAAGCAAAGAAACAGACTTTGCTGTTTAAATGGAAAGAAATAAAGGGCAAAAAGAAGGAGAGGCCAGAGCAATTTTTTACACTCATTCTTTCCAGAGACACTTACTGGTGCTAGGAGGAACATTTGGTTTTATCTGTGAACAGCAAACCTTCCCATCACTGTGAAACTAAACTAAACATTGAGAACAATTCGGTAGCATTTAATCCCAAAAGGATGTTGCAGCATCACTGTACGAGACGGGCTGCTTTCACCTAGTAGGAAATATAAATCCCATGCTTTTTGATGCCTCCTATAGTTCATTGCCATTGCTATTTGCCAGATCTCCCGCTGGTTCTTTTGCTCAGAGTGACCGTCACTGCCATCATATAATTATTTGCTAACTGTATCACGTGACCAATTTTCTGTACCCATTTTGACATGTTTACATCCATATGAGTTAACTTGGTTTAATCTGGAATGAAACTGTGCTGATCAATTCTGGTAATAAATAGGTGGTTGTTAAGGGTAAGTGCCTGTTGCCTGCTTAGGAAGGAGTTTACTGTATTCTTTGATGTAGTTGTGGCAAAATTAGTCTTCAATATGATATGCAGTATGTTTGACAAGCAATTGTATTTGGTTATTTATTTCTGAAACACTAAACAAGTAATAGCAGTTGCGAAGTCACTGTTCAGTGCTCTGGAGCTCCGGCCAAGCTCAGGTAGCTGAATGTGGTGGTTCTCCCGGGTTAAATCCATGTAGGTGTTTGGTTATTGAATTCTTAGTGAGTAGTGAAACAAAATACTGTGAATGTCAAGTTAGGACGTGAGCACTGTTGTGGTTGTCAACGTACACATTCAGTATGTTCATTTTGTGCTAAGATTTAAAGTTTTGTGGCTTGTCTCACAACATCCAAAGGTAAAGTTAAGAGAAGAAAAGGAGTATCAAAACTCATCATATGTCCTTCAGGAATCACAGAGGAGCATATGTTATGTGAAGTGTGATAATCCCTCAGGGTTACTCTCACCTTGGATGCTGGAGAGCCTTGGTTTAGCATTGGAGCACGCTACAGTTTGTACTGTAAGGGACTTAAGGGTAACATAAATATACAAAAGCGTATTTGAAATGAATTTAAGAAACAGGGGGCTCTCCTCTCACTTGCATGAGATTCTTTTTGCACAGCTGGGAATTACAGGGAGCCTTTAACGTGAGACTAAATTGTTTCCTCTCACTCTGAAATGTCTCTGTTTTGCCGCTACGGTGAGTATGGGCTGTAGCGTGAATGGGAATTGAGCTCAGAGTGGACATGATAACCAAAGAAGTGAAGAACCAGTATAAAGTTCGGCCCCTAAAAGTAGGTGTAATAGGTTGCTAGGTAAAATGAGGTGGGTGGTACTTCTGGTAAATGGCAGGTTGGGCGCTCCACAAATGTTTAGAAGTACATAATATTTAATGTTTTCATTTGTCTGTGGACTAATGGGTAGAATGAGGGCATTGCTCTGCTAAATTTTCACTGTGGTAAGCTTCCAGTAAATATGCTGGAATTAAAATGGATGATTTCTGATTCTTTAGGCTGGTAGAGATCTGATTTTCTTGAGGTACAGTTTCTCTGAATTGCGTTTACTTATTATATGCAAGGTAAAAAGCGGTTCTTGATCTCCTGGCTCATATTGAAATCAGTAGCCTAAATGTGGTGGTAGTAGGTATATCGATAGCTGTGCTTTAGAGGGGGGTTTTGCATCTCCTTTTTTTAAGACCAAGCTCCAAACTGTACGACCTCTTTGGAAGAAGAATCTGAGTTTATGAAAAGTTGTATGAAAAATTCTTTTCTGGCGGAGGAAGAAATTGCAGAGCAGTAAGTAATGCTGTTGGGGAAAAAACCCACTGAATAATGGAACAGGACTTTTGTAGGCATTTTCTAACTTTTTAATTGCTAAAACTGTTATCAGAGCATCAAATAATTAGTATGGATCTTAACAATTGTATCTGTTACCATTTAGATGCGCAAACAAAATTTAGAATTCTGTATAAAAATAAGATGGGAAAAAAAATTTGCTTCTTACCTCTTTTTGTTTCCTTTTCCTTTTTATAATAGGGCTTTATTTGTCCTCTGTGCATGAAGTCTCATGGATCAGCTGAGGAGCTGTTCAAGCACTATGAAGCAGTTCATAATTCTGGCATTGATTCAACTCATGGAGGAGAAGGTCATCTGTCACCGGAAAGGTGCAACAGTACTCATTTGTGCATGTGCTTTTGCGTCAGTGTTGAGCTGCTTCTAATTACACTGAAGGCTGTATTAATTTGAACACTTAATTATGTAGTCATGTATTTAAATGTTCATGCCCCATTTCCGACTACAATTAAAAAGGAGCTTGAAACTTACATTGGCTCATACTGATCTGACAATACATGAAAATCAAATACACATGTTTATATTGTTAATTAAGTCACCTGTTTCTCATGCAGCTGACAATGCAATATTACAGACTGGAGTGATTTTTAGGAGTGTGGCAGAAAAAATACAGGTTCCTCCTAGTTTCTGTCACAGAGCTGAAATTTCATCTTTTGAGGGTGGGGGAGAACAACCCTGAAGATAGAGAAGAAACCTGACTTTATCTCTGGGTAGTTAGGGTACTTACTGGGTAATTATAACATCAGTATTTGCCTAAATAGGTTCCCATATTACCTAGTTGTTTGCAAATCTGAGAAGTTTCTGTCTGTGTCACTAATTCTCCTTCTGTTTCCAGAAACTCCATGCTGATCTTCAGAAATCTTCTTTTATTTATTTTATTTAACTGTTTGGTCAAAACTGTATTGTTACATATATTCCTAGGAAACATACCAGGTTGGTTTATTTTTGAGACCAGCAGAATGTAGCAGGAACCAATAATGTGAAATTTTCTCTAGAAAAGTTTGAGTAGTCTGTCTGCGGTGGTTTGGGGAGCTTTTTCTTAGGGGCAAAATTTACATAGGTTTCTTTTTGCTTCCTCCTAATTCTTTTTCAGTTCAGTGTTTATTTTGGACTGTTGTAAATGACAGTCCATGCTGCTGGTTTGTCGCGCTCCCCCAGACTCTCTTGGTTTGCACACAGCAGCTGCCTGCGGCCCTGTTCAGCAGAGGTCCGCACCGCACGACCTGTGAACGGAGCTGCCTTCTGCTGATACTGGGAAGCAAACAGTTCAAATGTTTTGTCACTCATAGAACTGTGACCCAAAATGGTAATTACATTGAAAGAAATACATGCATTTATGTAACTAACGCAGAAGAGGGTGGTTCTTCAGTGAGAAAGGAGTGTAGAATGTAACATGTTTCAGTTGTTGTCTGAATGAAGATCCGTATCTTCCCAGTATTGTGGAGAGCTGGCAAGCCAGTAAGAGCCAGCACTAGTAGAGGTTGTGTCTTCATGCATGGACGGGCTCTTTCTTGTGAGTAGCTGCCTTCTCTCCCAGCTGCTGAAACAAAAGAAATCAAAATTAGAGCTTTATAAAGAAGAAAGTGGTAGGGCACTACTGGAGTTATATTTAGTTTCCTATGTGCACATTTATTCAAGAAAGAGTATTTCTTCTCTGTCTGATGTAAGCTTTTTCAGGCCAAGGTCAATTGTAGGAGGTTTGGCAAGGCCAAGTGCTGGGTCCTGCACTTGGGTCACAGCAACCCCAGGCAACTGGATATGATTTAGCAGGCATGGTGTTGTTGAGTTGATGGTTGGACTCGATGATCTTAGAGGTCTTTTCTGACCTATGATTCTATGAACGCTACAGGCTTGGGGAGAAGTGACTGGAAAGCTGCCCGGCGGAAGAGGACCTGGGGGTCCTGGTCGACAGCTGACTGAACACGAGCGAGCAGTGTGCCCAGGGGACCAAGGCGGCCAAAAGGAAGGGTTTAGAGAGCAAGCCCTACGAGGAGCGGCTGAGGGAGCTGGGGCTGTTTAGTATGGAGAAGAGGAGGCTGAGGGGGGACCTTATGGCTCCCTACAACTACCTGAAAGGAGGCTGTAGTGAGGCAGCTGTTGGCCTCTTCTCCCAAGTGACAAGTGACAGTATAAGAGGAAATGGCCTCAAGCTGCATCAGGGGAGGTTCAGACTGGATATTAGGAAAAATTTTTTTCACTGAAAGAGTTGTAAAGCATTGGAACAGGCTGCCCAGGGAGGTGGTGGAGTCACCATCCCTGCAGGTGTTCAAAAAACGTGTAGATGTGGCATTTCAGGACATGGTTTAGTAGGCATTGTGGTGTTGGGTGGACGGTTGGACTTGATGATCTTAGAGGTCTTTTCCAACCTTAATGATTCTATGATTCTGTTCTTCTATATAACTGAGACCTGAAATGATAGTCTTAGTAGAATAATAGCATTCACATGGGGAATTATTGGTTATAATTATATTGCTTATGTAGTTTATGAAAGATTTATTTTTATGCCTGCAAGTTTCCAATGTCAACCAGATGTTGGCTGGTGAATTTTTTTTTTCTTGGCTCTTGGCAGTTTAAGGACAAGTGGTTTTATTTTCTCTCATATAATTGAATAAGTGGACAAAATCAAGGAGTTTGGATGGAATGAAGGGAGTCTTGTGAGAGATGTTGTGTAACACATGAGCTACTTGTTCCTGATAGTGTGGAATTCTCTGATGTTTCTCAGTTGCGTGCTTGATTGAGAAAATTCTCATTCAACGTAAACATGTTTGTCCAAGACTTGGAATATCATATTAAAGAAATATTGCAGCCTACAGCAGGGAGCCACTCTGTTAGCGGTCTAGGAGTGAAGCTTACATGTAATTCATAGGACGAAGATGGAGAGGTGAAGTTCCTTATTTAGTTAATAGAGAAAGCTAGGTACTGTGAATTACATTTGTGTCCTCTTCCCCCCATCCCCCCAATAAATTATCATAATTAAGTGCCAAGAGTAAATCGTGTAACTCTTCCCAGTGCTGTTCAGCAAGGCCGTCGCTGCTTACTGCTATGATGGTGGCACCGGCATTACAGGTGGATAATGGAGTGGAGCATAAGGAGAAGGTAGTAGGGATTTGCTGGATGGTTAGGCTCAGATATGCGGAGAGGAGGAAGGGATAGTAACAGCCCTAGCAGAAAGGGACATCTGGTGAGGATTTGGGTGGCAGTAAGAAAAACAAAGTTACGTTGTCTATAGTGATCCCTTGTACTTTTTTTTCCTCCATGAATTTTCCACTGCTCAGTTAAACTGAACTTAGGTTTCATCTTAAAACTGTCAGGCAAAACTGTGTTGGGAATATTGAGGCAGCTGCTGTAGAAGAGTCCTTACATTACAAACTTTTTCTCTTCTCCTTCTCCTCCCCTCCTCCTTCCCCTCTATTACAAACTATTTTCATGCAGCTCAAAACCTTTTATTTGCTACGAAGATCAGAGCATCTTAAATGCTTTAGTGTTGCAGATCTGGTATCTGTTCAGGCCTAACTTCAATATAGTTAACTGTTTCACCTGAGATTTCGCTTGAATGTTCATTTATAATCTTAGGTATGAACGTTAGCTGGTTTACTTATACCTGCTTGACACCGATGAGAAAGCTGCTCCCTCTTCTCCACCCACAACCAATGGGTGGGTGTTGGACTGCAGCTACGCCTCAGTAAAGTTGTATTTGCGAACCTCCAGTGAATGTCTCACACAGGCAGAACAATGTGTAAATAGCAGAAAATCTTCATCTGAAAACAATTAGCCTTCCAATATCTAATGTTGGTTTTGCCAGTAAAATTGGTCCACCTTGGAGTTCTTGCTTCACTGGTTCAAGTGCATGTGTTTCACTTACTTCTTGTTGACCCTGACCTGATGTTAATATGCTAATGTAGACTGAATCTATTCCTTCCCAGCTTAGCTAAGGAAGAGCTTGCTTTGTTGTTGTTTTTTTGGTTTTTTTTTCCTCCTAAATATGAGAGAATTTAAAAGAATGTCTGTGGAGGAGGGGACAATGCAGCACAGCAGCAATAAAATAGTATGGTATAAAACTGAGAGAATTTGTTGGCACTGACACCCACCCAGATGTATCCTGTGTACTCCTTGGTGTTGCCACTGTACAAACAATAAGAAAGGGTCTGTTTGCATTATTTTAATGACCTGCGTATTCTAGATTTGGAGTGGCTGTACCTCAGTAATGCAACGTTATCCTTGTATGTGTAGTTGTGCAGTTCTGTAAGGAGACTTGCAATTTAGAACGATGCTGTCTAAATCAATCAGTAACAATTTTAGCCTTGGATCTTGTGTTCTTGCATGGCTGGAGGCTTGAGCACGAAATATGAGAATTTAAAGTCCCAAGGCTTTAAACATTCAGGCCATTAAGTAATTGTGTCTGTGAGGTTTACCTAATTGCTGTGCGGATGAAAAATTATGTAACAGCATATTTCAAAAGGAGTAAGATGCGTGGTATCTCTTAGCAGTGTTCCTTTACATGATATGGCAAGTGAAGGAGGATAACCTGTCCTTTTCATAAAAAGGCATGCAAACCAGTTGAGTGTCCCAATGCACAGCTTTGCCATTCTGAACTTGTGGCTGAGCTGATGCATGGATTTAGATTTATATTCTGTTGAGACTTTTTGCATATGTATTTTGCATATGTGTTTAGCATTTTTCAAATGATGTGCAAAGTGAACTAATAAGTATCTATTAATCTGGTTTGTCCCAAGTTTCAAAAAAATCTAAAAATAACTATTTATAATTATGTAAGTTATATTTATGTAGTACATGGCTTTCGCTCCAGTTACTGAATACACGTTATAACCTGTATGTAATTGACAAAATATAACCACTGCGTATTCATTTTCTCCACTTCGTGGGTATATTTATTCAGAGATGAAGTATCACTGCTCCGACAAGAAGTCCAAGACTTGCAAGCTTCGCTGAAGGTTGGAAATGTATTTTACTCGCACTTGGTATTTTGTTTCAAATTGCAGTATTCCACTGTCTTAAGCAACCAAATTTACTGTTTTCTCTCCCCCATATCCTTTCTTTTTTTTTTTTGTTATTTTTTCTCCTTAGGAGGAGAGGTGGTACTCAGAAGAGCTGAAGAAAGAACTAGAGAAATTGCAGGGGCAGCGGCAGCAAGTAATTGCTTTAAAATACTTCAAGCAGGTTTATCATCAGCATTGACATTGAAGATTAATACCTTTTTTGTAAGGCACGTGGCCTGATTTAGTTAGTTCTGTAATTTGAATATTGACATGTTTTTGAAAACAAAGCTAGTTATCTCTCCACAATCTAACTGTATATATACATCTGAATAACAAAGTCAGAATAGATAATGATTCTTCCGTATTACTCACTACAAGTTTAGTTCAGGTTTTTCCTTCTGTTTGGCTTATTCAGAACTTGGTTGAATAAAGAAAATAAATCGAATATGGTGCTTCATCTGTTACGAGAAAGGCAGATGGGGTCTTTCTTGTAAGAAATTTTGGAGAACACTAGTGTGATTTCACGGGTGTCCAGATGAACTAAACAAACAAGGCAAGGCAAATTGTGTGTGTTGTGCGCGAAGGAAGCTCTCGTTTCTTTTGTTACTATGAGCTACTTAGATACTGGATTGTTACAAACCTCAGAAGTGCTTTCTGACAGAATGCCTTCTCCGAATGTATTTAATGATGTCTGTAACCTCTGTTTTTAGGGTAGATTTCAATATCGAGGAAAGGGAGGGGGAGGGGATTGTTACTGGAGTCTTGCAAGTCTGGAAGCCTGATAGTGTAGTGATACATGAAATGGAAAATCATCTTGGCCTTTTCCGGTCATCTGGATATAACTGTTTGAAATCAGGTATTTTTATACTGCTGTGCAGTATTTGAGTACAGAGGTCTTTATTTCCCTGTCTTTTCAAAAAATGAGATGAACTTTGACATAGCAGTTTTTATTTCTGTTGTCTAATGATGTGTTTATTCTGTTTTCTTAAGGATTCAAAGTCTGATGGATTTACAACAGCTACATCTACAGGTGGCTAACATTTTATTAATTTCTGCACTCTGCTGGAATTTCTGAAATTTTTTTCAGTGTAGTGTTTAGGTTTATGAAGAAGCACTTTTGGTAAATTAAAGAGCTGGAAAGCTGGAATGGTATAAGTACTGGAAAAAAAGTTCATTTTAAGTGCTGAAGACAGGTAGCTCTTGGTAGCTATAGCCTGGGGAAAGGTTCCAGAGGCTCAGGGTTTGTAATTTCTGGAAGTGAGACAGGAGTTCTCCTGACTCTGAAAGTTGTTCTCATGAGTAATTTTGAACATTGATTCTTGATATTTAAACTAGAGCATTTGTCAATGCTGGTTTTATTTAGTGTTTTTCTGTACTCATTGCTAGCAAGGAAAACAATGATTTAGTTTGTTTGTTTTTTAGTTTTGCAGACCAATAATTTTTGTTCTATGTTTTTCTCTATGAGGTACTCATGGAATAAAATTTTCCTTATGTATGCATACAGTATCTAACTGATCATGATTAAAGAGCTTTTAATCACAGTTCGGGGCTCAGAATTCAGCAGCATGTTGCAGTGATCTGAAGGTTTATTTGTGACCAGTGAAAACCAATATGTACTTAATCCTGCAGAGTACTCAACTAGTCACAGGTTCCGGCATCATGCTTGTAGATATTGAACTTGCGTAAAGCTGTTCACTTTGCTAAGCTAATTGGATGTTAAGTGAACTTAAATTACTTTCTTACCTGTTGTGGTTCATTAAGGCTGTGAGTAACTGTATTGTCTTAGCTCTTCCAGAAAATAATACTGTTCTTTTTATGGAAATAGAATCATTAGAACGGCAACTAGAAGAGATCCAAGTAGAAAATTTTAACATTAAACAGATGAAAGACTTATTTGAACAAAAAGCGGCACAACTGGCCACTGAAATTGTGGGTAAGTATAGTAAGATGAGGTCTGATTGTGTTCTCGACTTGTGCGACTTGTGCAAGTGATCATTTATTCAAGTTCCTTCTTATTAGATCTTAAATCAAAATATGATGAAGAAATCAGCCGTCGGGAAGGTGCAGACCAGAAAGTGACAAACCTGACACAAGAACTGCAGAAGGAGAGAAGTGCAGTGGAAGACTTAAAGACAGAGCTGGTATTCTATATTGCACTAATGTTTTTGTTATTTTCAAGTCAAGGAAGGGATGTGCTTAAATGAATGCAAATGCAGCTTTAAAGCAGCCAAACTCTGTTGAACCTGGAGACGTCTGTGGGCTGAAAAAGTTCGGAACACCATTCTTTCTGATCTATTTCATTGACCTATATTTTCAGTGTTTTTTCAGTAAGGAAATATATATAGTTTCAGACATATATTAAAATTTACCCTATATTATATTATACTCTGCTTGTTTGATGCTATATCCTTCAGCAATTTTTCAGGGTATTCCAGGTGTAGATCTGCTGTGCAAGCCTGTAGTTGGAGCATACTGTTGCTAACTTCCATGGTTGTGTTTAGGTCACCCTTTTTCCATGTGGTGTTACGCTTTAACTGTCCCTGGACAGCTGTGTTCATAAGTACTCGGAGAGGTGTTTCGTGACACAGTGGCTGAAAGGCTGGCAGCTGTCATCACCATGCCGATGTTGATGATGTCCCTCTTGCGCTTGGCTGATAATACCAGTGTGTGTATATTCCAGGATTTTGGCTCCTGGTGGCTTTTATATGCAGCCATGGCTCCAGGGAGCAGTCCCAGTGACAGGGCAGTCGTGCCACTTCAGAAGCAGTACTGAAGGGGTTGTCCCAGTTTTTCCCGCTCAACCACTGCTTAGACTCTGGAGGAAAGTAGGATTTGTTTATCCCCCTTCTTCCCTTGTAGTCAGCTGCCCTGAAGGGCTCGTGAGTCCCTCTTGGCCCTGCCTAGTCACTGGACCCATCCATTCCTCTCTGTTCAGTTGTTTCTTGTCTTCTTTTCTCCTTCTGCATTCTTAGCCTTTTCCTTTACCTTTTGTTTTCTAGATGCCTTCACTTCCTTTTCTCTACTTTATTCAGTGCCCAGTGTTGCCTTTCCCCTCCCTTTTCCCTCCATAGCTTTTCGCGTTGAGGGACGTTACGGTACTTTAGATGTAATGACCAGCAGATTTTACCTGTGGGTCTGGTATGAGGCATGCCCGACATGCCTTCAAGAAGTTTCCTTCAGCTGCCCTTTTTTGGTCTGTTCTTGTGGTTTTCTGAAGTAGTTCTTGAAGACAGAGGCGGTATTATTATAAAAGTCATTGTAGTACTGGTTTGTTATGTCTTTCAGTCCTGAGAGGGGCTTGTGAGTATTGCAACAGTAAAGTATATACAGTAATCACTTCAGTAGAGTAGTGGAGTCAATACAGCCTACTTCTCAGGGAATTGTGACTTCTGATAAATATATTGCATGAATTCCCTGTCACTTCAGTGTTTTCTCGCAGGGAAGGTCTCCCTCCTGTTACCTAGCCGTCTACCTGCATGAAAATTACAGAAATTTAATCTCTGAGACCTTATCCCATTTGTCAGATTTGGTTGAGTCAATCAACAAGTTCAAAGTTTAGTAGGCAAGAAGTGACAGCGAGCTATTAAATCATGTTTCCTTTGAGAATGATGCATACTTTTCCGTGGGTTAGGTTTTTTGCTTTTTTTCTCCCCTCTTTTTTTTTTTCTACAGCTGTAATACTGTATAGATCACCTTGTCTATAAATTGATGATTTGAAATATTTTGAGAGATGACATCGACACTGGAAGCATATCTGCCAACAGCATGTTGCTCATAGCCGCTCTTCTACTTTTCAGCTGCAGAGGCCTGGTGTGGAAGATGTGGCTGTCCTGAAAAAGGAGCTGGTCCAAGTTCAGACACTGATGGACAAAATGACACTGGAACGTGAAAGGGAGTCTGAAAAGCTGAAAGACGAGTGCAAGCACTTGCAGGCAGAGCAGGCTAGCTCAGAGGTAATAATCATAGCTAAAGATGCATGTGCTAGCTTTGCCATGATTTTCGTATAAAAGTGGAAAATATTAATTCATTATAATGCAAAAGTCTCTCTCTTAACCGAATCGTCTTACCCATCTAATAGACATGTTTCTTCATTACAGTAAATTGCATAATTCTGTAAATATTTACCCTCCAAAAATCCCCATGCTTTTTGTTGCAAAACCTTTCCTTGGCGTAAAACATCATTACAAGAGCCCAATAACAGAGGAAAAAACCTTCTGGCAGAGCTGTGCTCTTTCTGCTGGGAGAGAGAAATAGAGCAACACCTGTGTGATTCAATGACTTGTTTCTCTTATTGAGCTACATGTGGATAAAAACAGTTGTTACTGAAAATGGTTCTTTTGATTAATGTTTGAGTTGGTTTGCCTGAAAGTAGATGCTAGAGTGTTAAAATAAAGAAAAATAAATTATTAATAAAAGGTAGATAATAATTTCAGTATTGCTATGGGACATATATACTTACACAAGATTTTAAAATCTTCAGTGGATATTATAAACTGGTTTTCATTTTTGTTTTTTCTAGTTTTTACTGTCAAATGGGAGGCCTTTTTACTCCTCTTATTTATTGTAGGAATATTTTGTACGAATCCGTTCTGCATATGTACCGCCGCCAGTCCACTGCGTAATGGCCTCCAAGTGTTGCCTGTTATCCACTAGAGCAGAGAGTGAGTGACTGCCAGGCCTCACCACATCTTAAGGTCAAGATGTGAGGATGTCACCTGTAATCTGTTTCCAGGCAACACCACATTAGTTTTCCTCTCTTTGTTGCTGCAGTCCAAAGTAAAAAATAAAGTCTATTATTCTCATTCTAGTGTTTTTTTTATTCTATTTTACATTTTTTCTCCATATTTTTCTGGATTTGAACTTTTAAAATTCATCTCATTTAAAAGGGACCTCACTGTCCACTTGAGTTGCAGAATGTGCTGGTTTTTTTAGAAGTGCTTTGTGAAGGCTTGCCCTGCTTTGGCTGAGTCAGTGGGAGAAGTTTTAAATTGCTGATGGGAGATTTTAAAACATTTGTCCAGTTTTGTTGTTCTTGTGTATAGAAATGATGATAATTCGGTGTTTAAGGAAGCAAAGTTAACTGCCTCTCCCACAGCAAATATTCAGTTTTCTTGTTTTTGATTCCTCTGCTTTTATACCAGTGAACACTTCTGCTTCCTTGCAAGATGGAGAAAAAGGGATGCAACAGCTCTGACTTCGATCTTTAAGAGGGAACCTTACTCCTCAAACTGTCTCAGATCACTCCTGGCTAAAGCCTCTTTGATGTTGTTTACCATGACAGCGAGGGAAATCTCTGACAAAGATAATGGCAAGAAATCCTGATAAAAATACAGCAAAAGGCTTTTGTCTAACATACAAGTTATTCTACTGAGGAGTTGGTAAATCCATACCTGCAGAAGAATTCTTTTGCTGGTTGTTGTTGCGTCTTGCTAGTGGTTTGTTGGTATAGTTGTAACAAGTGCATGGCTTGACAGTGTCCTGGTCTTCACTGAAGACTGTCAGCTGTGTTTGAGACCTTTTAATTTTGTCCTCCTCCTTTTCTGTTGTCCCCCACCAGAGCAACAAAGCCAGCAAAACTTGTCAATGCAGGGCTGTGGCCCCTAGGGAAGTGGGGTCCTTGCAGAATTCCCCAGCTTACATGAGGGAACACCTAGAGTTTCTGCGGGACTTCTAGTATCCTCTGTCCCATTGAGATTTGTGGGTGTGAAGGATTCCTGACATCTTGTTAATCTGGGATTTGATGTGCCCTAGATTTCAGAACTGCTGTTTTAACTTTCTGTTTCTTCATTTGCCCTGCAGAGCGTTAGAGAAGTGCTGCCCAACATTATTCTGAACTCATTAGGGCTTTCCTCCCCCCCCAACAGATATGTTGAGCTCCAGGAATTGTACAAGGGCGCAGTATTGTACTAAACATGAATCTACCATTGTTTTCGAGTTAAAATTGTATGCCAAGAGCTTCACCAGATGTGAAAAAAAGGAACATCACAGTTGGAGCTATGAATATAATGTGGTTATGCGGCCGTGTAAGTTGCTGCATAATTGTAATTTGGTTTTAACTATGAGATCCCACAATTATGCTGCAGAATTTAGATTTCATTTCAAAGTACTGTCTCTGTAGTCTTTTGTGGTTTTGGATATTTAGTTTTCATGTGAAGATAAAATGACATAGTGACATGGGCGTAACAAAAATCTTTCATCCTAGAACATTCTCACAGAAGCGTGAATTGCTCCTGTTCCCCCAGACTGTTCAAGTTTTCGCATAACTAGCCATTTTAGAAGGTAGCTTTAAAATGCAGCCTTTAACAGGGAAAAAAGACAAGTGAAGAAGGTTTTTTCAGTCCTCCTGGAAGTAACGGCAGATCGAGGAGAAGGCTGTTATGATTTGTATGAGAAGTCTTAGGTGTATGAAAGGATTATAAACTACATTGCAGCAATTATAGTAATATCAGATGTCTGTGTAGTATCATCAGTATGTAGGCTGAACCAGAGAAGCTTCTCTGCTTAGTTCCAACATAGGGCAACAATAGCCCAAGACGTGTTGAAAATCAAAGCTTTTCTGTCAATGTGAAGTGACAGATCAGACTTTTTAAAAAAATAAAAATTACTCAGAGTCATAGTGGTGAAAACTTTTCTACTCATCTTAAAATAATGCAATAGTGAAAAGTGTTAGCCACAAGAAAACAAGAAATGGAAGTCCTTCACTGGCAGAATGGGTACAGTTCTGGCCATGAAAGTTTGGCCATGTTTGATCTCAGCTTTGCTGTTAAAGACCATCTCAAGAGCTGAAAGGGTAAAGCGGTCCTTAAGCTATCCTTGGCTATTTTGCCAGGATGACTGAGAATACATATATTAATATTGGTTTCCAAACTAGGATGTCTTTAAAATAAATTAAATTTATGGCATGGGTGAAGAGAATAACAAAGATCATCTTAACCCCATATGAGCATCTTGAAGTGCTGCAGGAGAGGGATGTGAAGAATAGTATAGCTCTACAATTGCTGCCTAAATGATTCATGCTGTCTGCCCCTTTTTTTTTTTGTTGGATGTTTGTGCCTTATTTCAGAGTTGCATCTGAAACTCTGGTGTCTAGATCTCTCAGATGAATGTTCATTCTGAACTGCTACTTCCATGTTTATTTTTTCACTATAGTGACTTCTGCATAGTAAACACATTATGAAGACAGCTGCACTGCTGTGGAGCTAAGCATTTCTGTGAATCTCTGCAGACTGGGATTTGTTTCAGTATCTGATAAATCTTCATAAAATACAGGGCCTAGGCATGCTTGTTAACTTGAGTGCCCACAGAATTAAGTAAGATTAGTAGATTAAATTATGGGTAAATTTGATAAAGCCAGGACTGTTGTTTGTTGTTGGTTTTTTTTTTTCCCTCCACAAAACAAAGGCGTTAAAAACACTGGAATATTTGAAGACAAATTTGCGTGTGTCTACTAGCAGCTTTTGTGACTGCTTATTTCCATCTTTGATCCATCCATTATATTTTTTCTGCTTTCTAATGGAGACACTTAAATTTGAGGTAAATTTTTTTGAAAGCTTTCTGTTCTTACAGTAGATTTCTGTTGCATCAAGATAATTTCAAGAGGTCATTAAACAGATACATTCCTGTTTGCTTATTGGTTCATTAATCATACAGACACATCAGCCAGACAATATCAGAAATGAATAGTCATCCATGATGTATTTCTGTGTTGAGTGAAATGTGAAGTGGGTAGGCTTCTGAATTGTGAATGAAAGAAGTGTATCTTTATGCATCTAAATTATAGTTCTAGTTTGAAAGGCTGCAGTGGTGTCCTTAAGCTTCTGCATGTTTTCTGCATTATATTCTCTCACTGGTCAAATACCCATACTCTGTTTTCTGACAACATCCTGGAATGTTTGTCTGCTTAAGACAGATCCCAGGATGTGTTTTACCTAACAGCTCTGTGATGAAACAGCCTTGTAAAGCACAGCATTAAGGAAAGTCAGAATTAATAACTATATGTAGGCACGTAATGCGTTCATATGTTCTCTTTGGTCTTCCTTTTTCTGTGAGAATGTTGTAAATAGTATTTTTATTGTCTACTACTTCTGCTTTAATTCGTTCTTGAATTCAGTATTTATACCTTTGTGCTGAAATCTGTGGTTATGAGAACAATACGAAAGAACACTCCTTTAAAAAGGTCACTATTATATAGGGTATTCAAAGTGAGTGCGTTCATACACAGTATGCTTTAGGGCAGTCACTGTTACCCGTCGAAAGTGTTTGCTTCCATTACTGTATTCAAATACTCTGCAGTCGTTGATATATTCTGTTTTGTACTAATCCTCTTTAACGGAGTTGTATTGTTCCCCTGATTATGCTGACCTGCAGGGTTGATGTGTCCAAAAGTCACACACCAAGTCTGCATCAAATGCCAGACTCGCTTCTAGTGCCTTTTCCAGTACATTTCCCTTACCAGGGAGGCAAAGATTGTGGGTGTGTAACTTCAATGACTTGGGAGGGTTTCACCCTGAGCTAGAACTGTGATAACAGTTAATGGATAATCTGTTGTGATTTTCATCGCTTGTGGGCTCAGCCTGGCTCAACCTGTTGGCTTGGGGCCAATTTTTGTCTTCAGGAAAAAATGACAAGGATGAATTGCAGGTGGGAAATTACACTCTGTGGCGCTTCTGTAGCTGATGGTGCTCTGAGATTAGTTTGCGAGTGATTTTTTTTCTTAAGCTGTTTATTTGTATACAAGATACTTTTTATTTTGCTCCCAGACATCTTGCCTTTCTTGGGTTATGCATGCAAAGTGTTGTTTTAAATGTGGACTTTTCTGTTTGTCTGTTCAGGCTACCATTAACCAGTTAAGAGCTGAACTTGCCAAAGGACCTCAGGAGGTAGCTGTGTATGTTCAGGAGCTGCAAAAACTTCAAAGTTCAGTCAAAGAGCTAGAACAGAAAAACCAGGTGAGAATGCTGTTGTTTCCTATGCTTGTCAGTTCACATTAAAATGGAAACGCATCACACATTGCTTGGGAAGCCCTGAAGACTGTGACAAAACACTTCTTGGTGTTGCAGAAGTTGAGAATTCCTTTGCCGTTTTGCTTAACACAAGGGATATCGTAATGTACAAGCAAACACTGTATTTTAACTATCATCAGTGTGTTACAACTGAAATCCTCAGGGTTGTTATGATTGCAGGTTTCTAATTGCTGCAGGTTATACTTACCTATCATTAACCAGTATTGCCATCTTACATATTAAAAGAAAAAAGCAGTACGCTTTAAAATATTATGTCTGCCTAAAAATCATAATTCAGAAAACATTTTGAGCTCTCGTCATTGGTTTTCCAGTTTCTTAGCTTTTAGGTTGTACTCCCATCATATTTTTTGGCCGTTTGTCAATCATGAACAGTAGAAAATGGAAATAAACTTCAGAAGCTTCTCAGGTTATAAGTATTCCTTGAGAGTTTTTATCAAAGCCCTTTGAGCTTGCTGCATTTTGTACTTGCGTTAAGAAAGCATGTGTTGTGGGGTAATAAATGGAGGTAAGGGAGGAAAGGAGACAAGGAGAAAGAAGTGCGCTGCTTTTTGTTGCGTGTATATGTAACACTGTGTATGAACTGTACACATTACAGATGTGTGTTTTCCAGCAAAGTTGTTGGTCTTGAAAAATAGGAAAGGACAGAGATCAAGCAGTGTCTGTTTAATGTAATCTAATATTAAAGCAGTGTTTGCAAAGAATATAAGAAAGAGCAATTAAAATTCAGTAAATTACCCTTGCCTTTAGTAGAATGACTCTTGGTTTGGCTCATTAAATCAGGAGCAGAACTGAGATGGTGAGAATTATCATGCTGTACTTTTCCACAGACCAGCAACACTGAATCAAGCTTTTGGCAAAATTATTGCTGTACAGTATAGAGCCCTTGCCTGAATATATTGCTATTCCGTTAACAGTGTGCAGTGAAACAGATTCATGCATACGATAACCATACTTTAAGAGGCAGTCCTCTGCTATGTCAGGTTAATGCCCCTTGAGAACTAGGAAGAAGAGAAGCAGCAGCAAGCTACTTTCCCTCTTTCAGTTTCAGTGGCTTAAAGCAGTTTACAGCCACCTCTTTGTGCAGCTTTTTGAAAGGCGAGGTCCTTAAGAATGGTATGCTGGCCAAGAAATTTTGGCCCTGGAGGACTTGGACCTAGAATTGGAAGAGGTAAGACTAGCTTCCCAAATAACAGAAATTGCTCCCACTTCGAACAGTTTGCCATTCTTGAAGAAGCTGTCAAGGCGGAGGGAGAAGCTATTAATGCAGGATAGAATATATTGCATTTTGATATGTACATCCATTTATAATTCCATGGCAATGCGGGGAGAGATTTCTGTGCATTGACACAGAGTTTTTCAAGCTCATGTACAAACTCAAGCAAGCAAGCTGTTTCTTACATTTTCAGGAGTTATACTGAGAAGAGCAGGTGACAAGTAGTTAAGATCAGTTCTCTGAGACCAGCAGGAACTGCCTTTCCTTCTTTTATAAAGCGCTGTAATTATGGAGGTTGGTTTGTCTTGCAGCGGCCAGTAATGCCCTGTAGCCCAGAAGAGATCTAGTGTGTAAACCCAGCATATTCTCTGAAGTATAAGACTTGCTATAATTCTAAACCCATTGTGTGTGTGGGTTTTTGTTTGTTTTCTTTTAGGAAAACTGTGATGCATTATCTACAGGGAAAAATGCTTAGTTTCTAACCTTCTGTTGATGTAACTATTCTGAAGTTCCATCAGTGACCACAGAGTTTGTTCCTTAATGCCTGGCCACTGTCACTACTAATCTATTATGTGTGTTTTTCCAAGGAATAATTATGAAAGAAGGGATCGATGTGGTGTTTCCCCTTGTATCTTGTGAGTTTTGAAGACTCAGGGCCCTTTGTTGGTTGCTGTGACATACTGTCATTCCCTCTTTCTTTTGTGTGGAAATCAAAGCTTGGGGAAGAGAGGTAGCTCATGTGTGCCCCAAATGTCTCGTTATATATCTGGGATGCAGCCAGGATGTGCATCCAGGTAGAAAACACTGCTGGGTCCACTGAGACAACCTGAATGACCATAGCGTGGCAGCTCTGTGGCCTCAAGTCTGCTCCTGGGCTCCAGTCACATGTGGAGGTAGCAGGCTGTGGGGCAAACCCAGCTCTTCCCCCACGAAAGCAGCAGTGGCTGTTTGCGGCTCGGTCTGGCCGTTCCTGACTGCAGAAGGGTGTTCAGCTGCCGGGGGCAGTGGCGTTGAACACCGGTGTTGGTTGTTGTATTGATCGCCAGACCAGGGAGGAAGAGAAGTAGTGCAGGATGTGGAGCGGCATCTCCAGCTGTGAGTAGCTGCTGGCCTTGGCTGTCCGTTGGATAGCTTGTAAGGTGGTGGTGGAGAGGCTTTGCTTCTTTTTTGTTTTACATAGCATTCCTGAAGGCTTTACAGAGTCTCAGTCTGCTTCAAGATAACAGTAACTATTTCTCTTTCTTTTGTGCTGACTCTACATAAAGTAGCTCATAGGAGTTTTACATGTGACGTGTGGATCTAGTTAGGAAACAGTAGCAAGATTAATACCTTAGCTCTAACTTGCCCAGCTGTGATGAAGAAGGTTCTGCGGTGTGTTGGTATTTCAGGAACATTATTCAGTATGAACGTTGATGATCCTGCCTGGTCATTTCTCTTTAATGATAAGGGAATTGATACTTTATTTTATATTATGAGGGTGAAATATGTAAAAAATGTAAGCGGTGGGAGCCTTGCCACTGACTTCAGGAGGGTAAAGATGGCACCTGGCCTCAGTACATCCTTTACGTGCTCTATCCCTGCATTTTATATATGCATACCTGTAACAGCAACAGGTTGTTTTATTTTTCAAGAAACATTTTGAAATATATTACTGAAGGGCTAGAGTTCAATAATCAAACTTTAGCCTTGAAATTTTGCCTTAGTTGTATGCTTTAGAAAGTATGTATTTTATTAAACGGACGCATAGGGCATTATATTTGTTCTCTCATGGGTTGCTGAGCTGCTAGAGTTGTCATTTGCAAGACTGCTTGTTTTCTAACCTCCCTCTTTTTTATAGATTCTTCTGTTTATTTTATTATGATTGTAAAATATACGTGTCTGTATATGGTCGTAATGACTAATATGGTCATCATCTGTGAAAATTTGTAGAGAACAAAACTGGTCAACTTATTTGAATAGTTTTACAGCTTTTTCTTCTGACAAAACAGGTTTCATCCCTGGATACTGCGCAGAAGTGCACTGCTAAGATGCCCAGCATAGCTAGAATTGCAGCACTGACTATCTTATCTTTGGAGCAGTGTTATTTGAAAGTTGCAGAACTGTCTGAAGTTTTGCTACAGAAGATTGAACTCACTGTTGGCATGTTTTCGTGCCGACATGCTAGAAGTGTTCTTTATTTTTCTGTATTTTAGTTGAAGGGATTGCTAGAGAATACAGTAGTCACTGAAACTGCAGGAAGAACACAAACATTTAATAGGTGTGCATAGAAATGCTCCACTTGGATAGGTATTGGTAAGATGCTGCAATCAGTGGAACGTGCTGGTACATTTCAGGAAGACGGGATGAATTACTTGGGTTGGATGATGAACAGGGTCTCCATGCAAATATATTTCTGTGCTTCAAAAAGTGCTACTGGAAAATCGAAATGGTTCTCGTGGCTTCTTTGTCCTGCTTGGAGAGCTGTGAAATTCTAGTTAGTGCCTCAGCTGAGCTTGGGGGAAAACCTAAACTTTCTGGAATTATATCTTGTACATTAAGATATTTAATCTATGCAATTTGATAAAAAGTATGTAATAGCTGAAAATTATCTGTAAATAATTTTTTTCCAGTTTTGTCTCAGTGTGTAGATTTGATAGTATGAGCTTAGACCCTGCAATATTTGCTGTTAATGTGGTAAGAAAAATCTGACACTCAGTGCTGTTCATGTCTTTTCTTTAGGGAATCTCAATTTTTAGTGTTTTCAAACTCAAAGCAACCGTCTTCTTTGAACTGATTCGTATGAAGGAAATTAGATGGTGTGAATGAAGATGTAAAAACATAATCTTCTAAAATGAAGGTGAAATCATGAGTGTTTCATTCTGAGATTCAACATCACAGATTTTATTGGTTTTCACAGGTTCTCTTCCATAATTTTGGCTAGCAGATCATGTTGTAAGCGTAGTGACAGGGCAAAATTAGGATACTTCTAAAAATGATCAGCGTGATGACTCCACAGGATTAGGCAGGAATTAAAACACGAATGTTCTTGCTTAGGGAACTGTGTGAAGGACAGTGATACTTGAAAACTTCTTCTGTATGCTGATAACTCAAATTCCTATTTCAGCTTTTCCCAAGCAAGTGCAGTTGTAATAACCTAGAATTTGAACGTTCAGGGGAAGCAAATTAGTCTTCAGGACACAGAAATAGAGTTTGTGTGGTGTTCTCAGCAAGAGGAAGTGGATTTCTGTGAGAACATGAAAAACAGTATTTCCAGTTGAAACTGTGTGCTGTATGGGCTCCAGAATTCACTTGTGTAATATGACATAGAGGTCAATATTTTCTTTATTAATGTTTTTGAGCAAGTTCTTCACTGTTTGGCATCAACAACTGAGAAGAAATTTGAATAATGCATTGAACAGCTGTAAGCAGAATTGCAACTGAATTGCAGTGTAACTCTCTTCGTAGAGTCTGACTGAGAAGCTGCTGAAGAAAGAACAGGACTACGCCCAGCTAGAAGAAAGACACAATGAAGTGTCTGTGAGTAAGAAGAACGTGCAGGCAAGCTTTCACCAGAAGGACCTGGACTGCCAACAGCTTCAGGCAAAGCTGTCTGCATCTGAAGCCTCCATACAGAGATTACAGACAGAGCTAAGTGAGAAGGGGGAAGCAAGCCAGAAACTTAAAGAAGAGTTGTCCGAAGTAGAGACAAAGTACCAGCATCTCAAGGCGGAGTGTAAACAGCTCCAGCAGCAGAGGGAGGAAAAAGAGCAGCATAGCCTGCAACTCCAAAGCGAGCTCAGTCAGGTAAGTTTCCTTCAGCCTCCTAGACCATCCTATTGGGATGGTTTCTTAAACCATCCCATTAAGGTTTTTTAAACTATGCATGAATATTTTTTGTGCACCTGTATTTGCATTTGCTTATTGAAGGGGAGTAACTAATTAGTACTTGTATTGGAATAAATATAAAGTGAGCTGGTATTTGAATAAATATAAAGCATTCTTCCTAACACTGCAGAGAATAAATACAGTCACCTCTTCCCCTTAGAGAGGTAAACAAAAGAACAGGCAAGAACAAGAGGCTGTGACAAGAGTGCAGAAATTCTTTGGTATTTGTTTGCCATTACCTCTCAGTCATTTTAGTAGGTCCAAACTCTTGTCAGGGGCAAATGAGCATAATTGTAGCCCCTGTGTCACAATCAAACTCAGCAAAATCTAACCACCTTTCCACTTTTTTATTTCTGGGAAAGCTAATGTAATACCTATCAGTAGTATAATTCCCCTTTTTCTGAAAGGGAAACATCTCTTTTTAGAACTATCTTTATAATTTCAGTTTTGAAGATTAAGGTTGAATGAGCATAAATTTAGGAGCTTATTTCTCAAGATCTGACTTGACTTTTTTGTACGTGAATAAAAAAGGCTTTAGCTGATCTGCAATAGTTTTTTTTGTCCACTCTTTTTCTCTTACAGTGTTAAACGAACTCCTCTGTCATCCTACAGTTTTTCCCCTCTCCTTTTTTTCTTGATGCATTCCCTGAAATAAGGGAAATATTGTCAAAGGAGAGAGCAACCCAGAATGTTGAGTTTCCATGACAAATATGGTAATAGACAAATCCGTAGAAGTCAGCAAGGTTATTTATTCTGGTTCAGTAAGGTAGATGAAGCTATAATAATTTCAGGTCATGAGAAAAACAATTTCAGGTAGAGTATCAGAAGTAGTTTTGCTTCTATTAATAATTTTACTACTCTATAGGAACTGTGAGAAAAGTGAATCTTTGTTTTACATTAGAACTGAAAAATGCTTGATTTGCTTTAGAATTGAATAGTGAATACAGTAGGGAATACTGTGAAAAGCAGGGATAACATGAAGTCTTAATATTGCTTCCTTTGTGTCTCTCCACAAACACCTTCTCTTTATGTTGCTGATAGCTATGACAACACCCAGAGCATATGTCCCCCCACCATTTATGGATCATTCTGCTGTGTCCAATGAGTTATGGAAGCAGGACTTTTGTATAACACTGAGCATACTGATGTTTGAGGTTGATTGAACTCTATTTTGTCTAGTCTCTTGGGGAGTAGTGTGTTAGACTGGAGAAATATTTGTGCATCGGGAATCGTGTCTAGTCCTAAGATGGAAAAAATAGTCTGTTTTTGTTAGTATGACTTACTTCATTTTAACCTTGTGATAAAGCTTGATCAGTTTTAAGTGAATGTTTCTCAATTTTCAGCCCTTTGTCAAATCTGAAGTAGATTAGGTTGCAAGCTGCATGTATAGAGTTTATCTTGAAGAACTGTGGCTTGGCAAAACTTCATTTATGTATGTATAATGTCTCCAGAATGACTTTCTCTCTCCCATCAGTCTTCTGTTAGGGGGAGGGAAGGTAATAATATTAGTTATCTGCTTAGGAATCCTCAGCTGGTAGAACTGGCTCAGTCTGCCTAGGCAACGTGTGTACAAGCTTCAGAAGCACAGCCAGGAGGCTGAGCTGAAATCTGGCTTCCACCTGAGAGGGCATTTTCAGGAAGGATTTTTGGGGTGGGAAAATGAAGGAGGAAGAAGGTGAATAATGCATTACTGAATGAATTCCTATGAAAGGAAACGGAGGCATCACACATTCTCTGGTGATACCATTGGGATGGAAGACAGTCTAAGGAAGAAAACCTGAGCAAGCTGCTGGATCTCAGGAGGCATTTTAGAATTGTATCGTAGAAGAATAGCGGAAGAAAAAAGCCCTTCATACATGGTATAAAATAAAATTAAAGCCAAGCAAAAACTTGTCTTCCTCTCTCTCCCTCCAGACTTCAGTTACTATTGTCATGAAAAGACTAAATTTCTTGTGTTTGTTCACTTATACTTCAATAGAATTGTCTTTTTATATAAGTAGTCCAATAGCTTATGTTGACACTATCAATGCTGCTTTTGAAGGTATTTGTATAGTTGTTTAGTCAAATCACATTTTCAAAGAATCCTTGCCATCTTCTTATAACTTATTTGAACGGATGCATGCCTGCTGAAGTTAGTATATTTTAGAATTTGGGTGATGTGAAGGAAGTGATCTTCACAATGGAAGGAAACTTCAGTGATATGTTGGTTCAAGCACAACAATAGGAAGAGGGTAAAAGAAGAAAATATGGACTCCTTCAGTCCTGAAGAAATGTTAATTGCTAATAAATACTGTTGTTGATGAGAAAATTTGAATCTATGTGGTTGTATGTTTGAAAGTCTAAATATTTTTTGTGTGATTCTGTAACATAGGTTAATCCTGGATTATATGGTTCTGTTTACTTAAAGTCAGTCTTGAAGTCCTTCAAAAATACTCAGCTCTGCCTGTAACAAAAAGTGACTTTTGTCAAATATTGCTTGCTGATTTCCCCCTTTCCAAGTATTCTCTCCCAGTATCAACGTAGCCGTGAATAGTTGTAATAGTTATCTTGTTGCACCCTTGCTTCATTAGGTTTTTTTCCTCCAGCTCTTGTTCATATTTTTAACAAGGGGGAAGTATTAATAATTTAGTGTTTCCTGCAGAAAAAGACAAAAGTTCTTGATTACTGAAGGAGAAATTATGGTCGTTTTCCTCCACCTGCCCTTTCTCTTCTCCTACCTTTCTCTTAAGTGTGCAGTCACAGTTAGCAGTCAGCGTCTTGGCCACAGGCAGAACAGCTTTTCATTCATGGTTTTTTATGGTTGTGGACATATAAACAAATAATTTGGCTTGGTTTCGTAGGAAAATAAGGCATAGATACATTTGTTTCCCTGTCTCCATCCCCTGTAACTTTCGCATTATTTGATAACTTTAGCCAGATTTTGACAGAAGGCCCAAAGGTCTTCAGCGTTTGGTTCTTCAGTGTTAAATTCTTGTGGAAACAGGCAGCTGGGTAAAGGAGAAAGACTGATGTTCATGCCTCACCCCCTCAGTGCCTGGGGGGAAGGTTTAATGTTATCAAAACCACTGTTTGTTTTTCTGTCCCGCTAGGCAGCCAGGTCGTCAACAAGTGGTAGCTTGCAATGAGCAGCAAGATTGTGCTGCCTTTTGCCTAGATATTGGCAGGAATTGGAGGGAAGCGTGAGAAAGGTTTAGGGATATCGAAGGGAGGGCCTGGAGTTAAAAGGTGAATGGTTCAAGGGTCTTGGACATGGATTCATAGGGAAGCAGGCTTCATTCATCCTAATACCTGTAGAAAGTTCTTGCTGTGCTGCAAAGTCTGATGCATTCTCTGTTTTTGCATGGAGCTGAAAGTTCATTTGTGTATCTGTGAATGTATTCATGTAGAAGTAGGCAGGAGGTAACCCCGGGCCTATAGTGGCAGTTTCAAAGAGAAGTACAGCTGGGTTTATAGACAGAGCTTTTTAGAACAGTGAATAGTAAAAGGCCAGTCTTGCACTTGGAAGATGGTGCAGTACTGCTTTTGATGACTAACAAAATGATGAGGCAGGCTTGTGTCCAACTGGAAGAGCGCAGCCCCTTGCTTGCTCTCTGCTGCTGGGAGGTGCTGGGCTGTAAGCCAGCAAGGTTACTCTGCACCCTGCATTGAAGCTTCACTTAGCTCTTCTCTGCAGAGAATGAATGCCGCTGATGTAGCCAGATCCAGCTAAAAATCATGCTCTGACTAGTCTAGCAGTGCCGAACAGTATGTTGTGGGAGCCAGCGGAGCAGGTGAAGGCACGGTGCTTCAGGCACTGGATCTGCAGCAGTGAGGGCATGCTCTGTCTAAGATGAGATTGCTCTCAGCATCGCTGTTTTACACAATAGTCATTATGTCTTGGAAGGATTGCCCTCTTTGTGTTTCTATAAAATCTCTGTAACTGGTGTTGAAGGGCTTCTGTAGATGAATGAGGGTGTTTCTGAGTCCCTCCAACCTACTTTTTTTGAATACATTTTCGAGCTTGTGCAGTTGATGCTGGTCCTTGACATGATTTGTGTTTCTGAGGTTTATGATGTGCGTACATGACTTCAGGAACTCATGTAGCTGTTTTACTCAGGGTTGTGGAAATTTAGGGTAAACATTGCAGAAAACGTGTCTAAAATACAGTGCTGTTGGCTAAAGAATGGCTGAAAAAATGAAAGATTTGTTTTTTGTTTTTTGGTCCAGTTGCACAGTAAACTTCTAGAAACCGAGCGCCAGCTGGGGGAAGCGCATGGACGGCTGAAGGAGCAACGGCAGCTCTCTGGTGAGAAACTGATGGACAAAGAGCAGCAGGTGGCGGATCTGCAGTTAAAACTTTCTCGTGCTGAGGAGCAGGTAAGGGCTCTTATGCAGACTCTGGTTTGCTCTGATTCTGGTAGCAGCCTGTGTACACTTGTTGTGATGTTGTGGTTTATAAAGTTTGTCCTTATGGGAATTTTATTTGACTAACACTGTTAAAGTCTTACAGTAAAATTGTGAAAATCTGCCAAAATGCCACTTGCATTACGGATTTTGTAAGGCTAAATGCTCACCAGATGCATGTATGTTCATGGTGCTTTGTAGGTGAATAAAAGATGTGCTTTTTGTACTTACTAGCATTGTCTAAGGATCTTATAAAAAAAATTATTTAGGTGCCCCTAGGCTGATATGGGTAAAGTTTTGTGTGTATATATTTTTGTGAGATAAAGCCCTACATGAAGAAAAAGTGAACATCACACAGCAGGTCATTGATAGTTAATAACCTGTGTGGGGTGGATGGGTAGAAATCACTTGTTTTATTAATTTATACTTAGTTCAATGAGCATCTTGTATATGTTGCTGATTTTCTACTGCTTCTATCAGGATTGGCCAAATACCTGAGTGGTATGTTGTCAAAGCTTTAAAAGCTTTTTTGTAGCTAATCTGCAAAGCCGTGACCAGTATAGAAGTGGAGATATTGCTAAACTGAAATTGCTACTAAAACTGCTAATAATAATAATAATAATGTTGTGTTACAGGTATGTGTATTATCAGTCATGTTATATCTTAACGACTGTTGAAAAAAACGTACTAAAAATCTCTTACATTTTAGATTTTTGAGAGCTAAAATACGTATATGTCTGAGTTGTGTCATAGTTCTCACTTGTCATACAGACTCTCACCTATTAATAGTAATGAATGCTTGGTTAGATTTTGATTCTTTAACTAGCATCACGCACTTTTACTTTTATACCAATATTCATGTTTATAGTAAAACCTTTTAGCATTAGAATGAACACTGAGCGCTATTGGCATACTGAATGGTGCTCGTTCACTCATTAATCTGTTTTTCTGTTTGTTTGGTTTTTGTTTGTTTTTGTTTGGGTTTTTTTATTTCAGCTAAAGGAAAAAGCAGCAAACTTCACAGAACTGCAACATCAATTAGATAAGGCAAAACAGCAGCACCAGGAACAGCAGACACTTCAGCAAAGTACTACAGCAAAACTACGAGAAGCCCAGGTAATGTAGCTATGTATCTGTATGTGACAGTGCGTTTCAGGATGTCGTTATTTTCAGTGTGTCTTCTCTGTGAAAGTGGCTTGCATGACATATATTAGGTTCAGTAAATTAACTTGTAAACCTGGAACAGAATAGACAGAGAGTGTTTAATATATTTATCCAACATTTTATGCATTAGGAATAACTTCTAAGGTCCCTGTAATTAAGGAAGCTATTATGCGATTTTCTAGAATGATTTGGAGCAAGTACTACGACAGATTGGAGATAAGGACCAAAAAATTCAAAATCTTGAGGCTTTGCTTCAAAAAAGCAAGGAAAACATCTCTTTGCTAGAAAAGGAAAGAGAGGATTTATATGCAAAAATTCAAGCTGGTGAAGGAGAAACAGCAGTTCTTAACCAGCTACAGGAGAAAAACCATGCATTGCAAATACAGGTAAGAACTTGGAGACTTGTTTCTTTTCTCTCATACTGATTATTGAATCTTGTTTCCTTTTTTCTGTCTCATCAGATATGGCAATGATCTTTTCTGTGCTTTGCTCAGTTTTTGACACTTACTTTAAAGATCTCAGTGTAAATTTCACAGGACTTGTGTTTTGATGACTTCCTTGCTATCATCATAGAGGAAGGAATTCCTAGAGGTTTCCTATGTACATATGCTGGTAATGTGTGCTTACAAATAATTTTTGGATACACATACATGTTTGTTTCTCTTATTTTAAAAAGAGGTTTAATTCTGGCTTTCAACACCGAAATTCAGTTTAGCCTGTATCTGTTGTCTCTTTAGTATTTTGTTTTTGTTACTGTAAAGCCAGATTGACAAGTCTCTTTTGCTTCCATTTTTAACTGGTATCCTGCTTCAAATCTGGTATTGTGTACAATATAGCTTTACTGTAATAGTTCAGAAAAAGAAATGTGACAGTGTGGAGTCTCCAAAACCATGACAAGACATGCTGAAATTCGAAAGATTTAAGTCTTCTGTGGACGTGCTGTTCCACCCTTCTCTTCTGCTTACCTCTTTTTTTTTTTTTTTTTTTTTCACTGCAGGTAAAGCAGCTGACAGAAAAGCTGAAGAATCAATCAGAAAGTCATAAACAAGCCCAAGAGAATTTGCATGAGCAAGTGCAGGAGCAAAAGGCACATCTAAGAGCTGCTCAAGACCGTGTGCTTTCCCTGGAAGCAAACATCACTGAACTAACCAGCCAGCTAAATGAAAGTAAAGAGAAAGTATCACAGCTTGATGTGCAGGTAATGGCACTCTGTACTGTCTGGTGGTGATAAAACCTGCTTGTGATTTCTCTATTCTCTCCAGAGAAAGTATAAAGTAATTTGGGAAAAATTGCATGTTTTTACTAACAGGCAAATGAAGTAGAATAAGGCAGATAAATCTGAGGAAAATGTAAGTGGATTCAGAATAGTGATAAATGGCAAGTGTTATTTTTTTAATTAAAAACCACCAGAGTTCAGAATTAAGTTGGGAAAATCTGTCCTCAAGCGTCTGTTGTTGCATTTGTAATGATTAGCCATCCAAACCCCTGCTCTTACCAGTTCTGGATTCCGTGCACCGGAGTGAAAGTCTGTCAAATCATTAAGGTCTTGTTGTTGCCTAGAATTTTCCTATGCTGGCATCTTTTGTCAAAAATAAAACAAAAAAAGCTGCAGGCCACCTTGTTGTCAGTCTAATTTATGAAACAAGGAAATACCCCAGTATGGACTCAAAGCGGACTCTCCTGCTGTGAAGTGCTGCTTAAGCTAGAAGATCGAATTGCTTTCAGCTATCCCAAAGAATAAATAACACTTGATCAGAAGTTTGGCAACTATTATGTTCTTGCATCGATACACTTGGAGCATCTAGTACTGTAGTTGTTGGATTAGTACACTGCGATGTCTTTAGAATTAGTGTTACTCAGTTTCCAAACAGGCCTGGGAACTTCTTCTGATACAGCTTTGTGATGTTTTTACTGAGCTTCGCTGCGATACCTGGACTGTTTTTTTCACCAAGACCTTAGAGGTAAAACTGAATAATCAATGGACTGTTGCAACTGCTATTTAAGGCAGTGCGAGCTTCCTTACAGTCTTCAGAGAACAGCATTTCTATTAGGGAGACAAATAGTAAACCACAATAGCAGGTGACCCTGAATAATTCCTCTCTGCACCAACACCATTCATACTCACCTTCTAAATTTTGCTTACTGGATATTTGGAAGGAAAGGGGCTTGCTCCCTGACAGACAGGTAGGAACAGGGAAAGATAGTAATGCGTGTGGAAGCGTATTTTCGTTTTTTCTTCCTCTTTTTGCTTTTAAAAATTTTGGAGATCCTCAAACGTGCATGTCATCTGAGGTTATGAAGGTATGCATGGGTGTGAATGCAGTGTCTATCCCGTTGCTCCTTGTTTGTAAGTGAAAATATTTTCCTAGAATAGAAGATGAGTGGGACTGGTGGGTTTTTTTTTTTCTGTTTGTCTGTTTTTTTAGGTCAAAGTAAGAACTAGCTGCTCCTTAAAGTCTGGATATTTTTCTAAACCTTGAAAATCTTTCTTCCTTTTCTTTTTGAAGTAGCACATGTAAAGTACTAATTTTACTATTAAACTTACTGATAAGTATAAAAATTTTGAATGAGCTATGGTAAAATAGATGTTTTAGTGAAATACAACTTGTATTTCAGGTAAAAGCAAAGACTGAATTGCTGCTATCAGCAGAAGCATCAAAAGCTGCTCAAAGAGCAGATCTCCAGAATCATCTGGACACTGCCCAGCATGCACTGCAAGATAAGCAACAGGTTATAAGCACCTTATAAAGTTTCTATGTTAACTAAAAACTACTTAAAAACCTAAGAATAGTCTGTTTAGAAACTAAATAGACATGTGAATATGCATTTGGAAGTCATCATTCAGGATATTTTAACCATGTGATAGGTATCCAGTTCATTTTGCTGTAATCCGGATCAGATATATTTGGCGATGTAAAGAATTTACTTGTGAATCCACTCCTCACTGTAGTATTATGGTTCAGAATCTGAGCTGTCCTATTGGGCTATGCACTGCGATTCTCACCTGTACGTTATGAAGAAAAAATTGTAGAATGCACTGGGTACAAGTGAAAACTCCTGACTCTTATTGCAGGTTCAGATGAGTTCAGAATCAGATGCCTGTATTCGGAAAAAATTATCTGTGTACCGAATGACACAAAAAACAGAAAGACTGTTGTTAAAATTGCATGTTTTAATGTGTGTTAATCCTAGTGAAGCATTCCATGAAATATTTGCATTGTTAGAATCAGTGCTGCTGTGGTCTTCATGGAAACATGCACCAGATGCTAACATAGCACCATTTTTTAGGGTGGGAACGTAATTAATTGCTATAAACAGAAGATGTCTTTTTGCAGCTATTAATTGAGAATTAATAATTAAATCGTCTTGGATGGAGAGCAACAAACTTGATGTATCTGTCATCATAGTGGTTACTAGGTAAATGCGTTCATGTCTCTTGCAGAAGTTGAAGTTGTTTGAACCAAATGATTTGAAATAATTTCTGGTATGTAGAGAACTGACTGTTTCAATGGTATTGGCTTTCCTTTTCGGTGGTGCTTGATTTCATGTAAACAGCAAAAATTTTCTCTAACGTTTTTGTAGTGTTACTTCCTAGTTACTGTTGTACTGACTGCAGAATCTAGTGCTTCTATTACCTACAATTCCTCTTCCATTTGTAACTTAAAATACCTTTGTTAAGATATAGCCCACAGCCTGTAAAGTTTGAGAGGAATATTGAGGCTTTAAAAGAAATATTGTCAGTTTAACAGCAAATTTGTGCACCTGTTTGTGTTTCCCCTCTCAATTTCCTGCCCCTCAGAATGAAAAAGTAACATGATTTTCCTTTTTAATTTGAACACATTAGATCATTTAAAGCATATGTGACATTAGTCATTTTTGTAAGTTATTTAAAAACAAACAACCCTCATATTTTTATTTTACCTCAGGAGTTAAATAAGGTCAGCGTTCAGCTGGGTCAGGTTACAGCTAAGCTGAATGACAAGCAGGAGTACTGTGCTCAGCTGGAAGCCAATCTTAAAGAGTACAAAGAGCAATGTCTTTATTTAGAACAGAAGACTGAAGAGCTGGAGGGACAGCTTAAGGTTTGTATTGAACTCAGTATCTGAGCTTACAGAAATTGATGTTCTCCGTTGTTTGTTAGTATGTGATAAAAGCTGTGCTCAAAGATCATGCCAATACTGCTTTTGGAGGTTTTCTTTTTCACTAGTGTTTCCTGATCCACCCTTTAATGCTATTCTCCTCTTCGTCCATGCTAGCATATCACCCAGAGGAGACAGGCTTAGGACATTGCCACTATACTGTCGTTTTCCTGTACATGTGCTTTTACCAACCTCTGTGCTACCTGGAGAGTGTTATGAGAGGGTACATGAATACTTCCTAATATTAGAGTCTTCAAGTTCAACCTTATACACTTTACAAGTGGCAGCAGGGAGGAATATGTGTTACATTGGTTAGCCCAAGTTAACACTGTCTGGTTTAATTTGTTTCTAAAGTCTTTCAGTAGGCTTCTGCAGAGGCTTTTGAGGTTTTTTTTCATCAATATTTTTCCTCTAACTTGATCTTGAGTTTTGCATTCCATTTCTGGGATCAGTTTTTCTCCTAAAGTACACGTAATTCTGGCAGGAGGTTTGTAGAACCTTTTGGTGTTTTGACATACTAATATTTTTAGTTAAGGATATGAATTAGTCCTAATGCTTGAGAGCTTTTAAGTTTGGGCTTTAACCTTTGTTCAATATTTGTTAAGCATTCTTGGTGGTCAAAATTCATGATGCATAACACCGTATCATACAGGGATTTTAGGAGCAATGCAGAATTGGTTTTGCAGTGTCATCTGTTTGAGGGAGACTTTTTTTTTTCCTGCCTGCTTTCATTTGTGCTTTTATTTTTTGTCCTTTTGCTAAAGGTTCACAAGTAACCAACAGACACAAATGCTCGGGAGGAATACAGTGCTTGTACAACATTTTATGAGGTTGTTGGTAGCTGAAGTGTGAAACTAAGCAGGGGTGTTGACGCTGTCAACAGGAATGCGATTCTGTGTAAAATCTTGGTGTCATCACCATTCTTTGGGATTATTCCAGTTGCATGCATGGTATTTAAAAAAAAAAAAGTAGAAACAAAAAGCCCTCAGGAATTTTCTGGGAGAAACTTCTCTCTTGTTTCATGGCCACTGCATCAAAGCAGAAGTGCCTGTAAAACAGCCAGTGTGTTGAAGAGTCTAAGCAGTGCCTGTCTGCTGAAGAGCCCTGTGTTCTTTATACCCCGAGTAAATGAACAAGTACCTTCTAAAAACAAGACAAGAAAAACCTCTTCCAGGCGACTGTAGGATTTCTTTACAGCTGTAGTTGGTGTCTCTGTTTTTGTTACAAAGAATGGCAGAATTCTTGGGATATGTAAACCAGCAGTCATCTGAAACCACTGGAGCTACTTGGTGGTGGCTGAGAACCCGGCCCCAGAGCTGTGCACTGTGTATGGCCTTTATTTGTAGAAGGGTTTTGGGTAGTCTTTTTAAAGATTTCTGCTTTTTATCTGTTACTTTGCAGTAAAATGGCTGCTTGGCATTCAATTTAAAGATGATATCGGAATGTTTTACCACTTCTGAGGGAGCAAGAGATTTACAGGCACTAAATAATGAAAGATAAATAGCAAACAAATGAAATACGTAGTTTGTAAGAATTGTGACTGCTTTCTACAATAATGACTTTCTGCAGTAAAAGCTACTCACAGACTAGATGACTTCTGCTTTTTATTGCTATTTTTATTTTTTTGGTTGTGTTATGATGGCTCTAACTTTTCATTTTTCTATCTCAGAAACTTGAAGCTGACATTCTTGATGCTAAAGCAAGCAAAGATCAAACTCTTCAGGAGTTACAGCAGCAGCAACAGCAGTCTACAGAATTAGACCTCCGAATAGCAGAACTAAGTAAACAACTTGAAGCTGCAAGAGAAGCGTATGCATTTCTTGTGTTATAGTACTTTTCAAAACTAGACATAAAACTAGAGTGGTTTGGACTAGAGTTGAAATTTTATTCCTCTTTCTTGTGATTTCTTAAAATCTTAGCAAAGTGATGTGTTCCCTCTGCTATGAGAATTGAGTTTTATCCCACCTGTTTTCTTTCACTTTATATGCCTGCAAACTCCATCTGCCATGTTGTTTCATGGGAATCACTGACTGCTGTGATTCATACGCTTCAGTTTATTCACTGTGCTTGTTAGCTGAACATCTGAACAGTTTGTTGTAGTGAGGTCCATCTTAAATATCCATAGCTTTGTAACATTTTTCAAAGACTAATTTCCAATTTATGCATGAGCAGCAAAGGGATAGTTTCTGTTCCTTATAGTCGAGGAAGAAAAATCCATCTCAAAATAGTTTTTAGAGTTGCTAGTATATCTTCATTAGAGAGACAAAATGCCTATGCTCTGGATGAAAAAGGTGTGTTTTGAAGTAGTTCTGCAGTTTATATATGAAATGATAGAGATATTAAATGATACAAGAGGGAGCTGGGCTTGTTCAGCCTGAAGAAGAGAAGGCTGAGAGGGGACCTTATAAATGCTTATAAATATCTGAAGGGTGGGTGTCAGGAGGATGGGGCCAAGCTCTTTTCAGTGATGCCCAGTGACAGGACAAGGGGCAATGGGCACAAACTGAGGCACAGGAAGTTCCGTCTGAACATGAGGAAGAACTTCTTCCCTCTGAGGGTGACGGAGCACTGGAACAGGCTGCCCAGGGAGGTTGTGGAGTCTCCTTCTCTGGAGATATTCAAGACCCGCCTGGACAAGGTCCTAGGGATCGTTGGACTAGTTGACCCACAGAGGGCCCTTCCAACCCCTACCATTCTGTGATTCTGTGATTCTGTGACCCGTGAAGACGAATTAAAAAAGAAATTTATTTTTCTCTTTGTATTTACAGAATGTCTAATGCTAAATTGGATTTGCAGAAGAAATCTGAGGCCCTTGAACAAGCAAAACAGCAAATTTCAAAGCAGGAGGAGGAAAAGGCCAACCTCAAACAAAACCTCGAGAAATCAAATCAAGATACAAGTAAACAACTCAAGGCATTAGGTTGTAAAATGCAAGCAGCAACATCAGAGCTGCAACAAGTGAGATTAGAGAAGGATACCCTATTAAAGGACCTTACAGCTACCAAAGACAAGCTCTCAAAAAGTTCTGAATCCTTTAAGAAAAGAAAGGAGGAATTAGAAAAAGAAATACAAAAAGGAAAAGCAGCTGTGGCAGAAATGGTTAGTAGTTTCTTTCATTAGACAGTAAGTTGGGGGTATTTACAGTCTGATAAAAGGACTTTGCTTTCTGTCTGAAAATGGTGTACATATCATGACAGTGTATGGAAATTAATTGCCTTAAGGCAAAAAAAAAAAAAACATTTTTAGTAGTTCATACATGTGTCCTACCTTAAATTTTTGTCTGGAAGTTTATGGTAGTAAACATCAGTCATAACACACAATAGGATCTCTTTTTCTTGCTGCATGCCTTTAATATGGTGAAGAAACTAAAGTGGAGACAAGTGGTGAACAATTTGATGGGAAATGTGCCCTTTTTTAAAAATACATCAGTCTTATTATAACAACATGAAGTTATAAAACCTTTGCTAAAGTGCCACCAGTGTTGAAGAAGATGTTATTTTTCTGAGGCCATTTTAGTTTCCTTTCTGGAGTCATTGTGTATAGAACCTTTCTGTTCACTTGTCTGGACACGCTGGAAGGCTGCCTGCTGCAGGCAGAGTAACATCATCTGTCATTTGGGGAGATGCCTACTCAAGGTATTATCAGAGTACTAGAAATATTTGAATTTCAGAAAGGTCTCACAAGTGATGGTAAAATGGCAAATGCTTGACCACCAGAGGAACCTGTTATCGTGATGAGAGTGAACTCTCACTAGCTTTAAAATACACCTTTTTCTTCCCTCCTTTCCTTTGTCAGTAATATGAATGATCACTATATGAATACATGTTTTATAGATTCTCTTACGCAGTTGTTTTGACACCCCTGCCTTGGACATGGTAGGAGTGTCATTCGCATTCCCTTCTCCTCTTATGTGTCACCATTTCCCAGAATCCATTCAGAGCTGTTTTTATTCTGATCTAATAAAAATTCAGCTCCTAGTTAAAAATAACATTTTTTACTTTACTCTTTCACCTTTTTAAGATAAGCCTTTTTGTTTGCTTTACTTAGTTGCTGCCATTTAAATATTTGTTTCTCCTAAAAACTTGAAGGATTTTCTCCCCAGTTTAGACTTTGAGGTAGGAGTTCAGATTCTGCTTCTAATTCTGTAGTCATTTGGAGGCTTGCCACTGTGTTAAGTGCATAGTATTTGTGCTTAAAATGTAGTTGTATTTGCGTGCAAGTCTCACAAATGTAATTGCTTGTGAGTTTTAGAACATCATGAAATTTTGGATCCTGAGGAGAGCAATGAGCCTACTGCCTCCCATGAGAATGAGGAGGGCTGCCAACAGCGGCTTCAAAGAGGGGGACTATCCCTAACCAGAAAAGCTCTGTGACACATGGCTGCATTTGTTAGTACAGGGTAGCAGCTATGTTCAGCTTAGATTTACCACTGTTAAAGTTTTGAGAAGTTTTGAGCTGAAAATACGTCTGCGGCTGAGAAGGAAAACTTTTTCACTGAAAAGGAAAGCATTATTTTTCAAGGCTTTGTAGATCCTGCAAAAATACCTAGTACTTGGTCTTAGAAGTTCACAGGGATATTTCCTTGTCTTACATTTTTTAGGAAAAATCTTGCCAAGAAGTAAAACAACAGCTCCAGGTACAAACAGAGTCTGTAGCTAAAGAGAGGAATGAATTGAAAAACTCACTGGAAAAAAAAGAGGGGGTAAGCTGTCTGCTTAATTTCAAAAAATCTAGAAACCAATAATAAATGTTTAAAAGATTCATTTTCACTCTTGCAGGCTGGGACTGATGAGGGATAAAGAGGTTGCAGTTCTCAAACTGTAACCTACCTGGGACACTGAAATAAGGTGATGCTGGAAATTTCCTAGGTGTTGATATGAAGCTTTAAAATACAAGTTTTACTCCTGTTTTTCTGTGCCTCACATACATTAGTGGGGGATTTTAGTCCTTCAGGTTTTTTCATGAGTGAAACAGTTACTTGGTATTACCGTGTCCTAATTTTTTTTCATGATTTCATGTAATAGAAGTTGTTTTCTCATATCCTTAGATCTGTTTTAGTCTCAGGCCGAATCAGTATGTTCTCTGTGTGACTGACAGGACATTTTCAGAGATCCTTGAAGGATTTAGTTGCTTTTGCAACCTTGTAGAAGTCGCTTGCCTGTGTCTGCACATGGACCAAATGTACTTCTTTTTTAAAGATGAGCCTTCGGACTGCAAACCATGTAATCCAGCTGGCAGTCTGAAGGCCAAATCCACTTTCATGGATTTCTTTACCCAAGCTGTCACCTGTTCCCTAAGGGAGTCAGAAAAGATATGAGCAGTGGACAGAGTTCGATGGACTGTGGTGGACTCTTACTGCCTGAAAATGGTTTGTGGGTGTGCAGGTGTGATGGTAATTGCTCTGTGACTGCTGCTGCTACTCCCCTGGCTCCTCTCACGTTCAGCAGAAGCACTGTGGTGCTCTGTGGCAAGCGCAAGGGGATGAGTTTGGTATCTGCTACAGTTAGCAGCAGGAGAGCTCAGACCACTGCTGGCTGGAGAACAGTTGCCTGCTCTTCATTTTAAATGGTGAAAAAAGACTGCAGTTGCTCTAAGGGTAGGAAACTGGGAATAACAGATGATTTTAATGTGTTATGGTAGCTCTTAAAATCTACTTGCCAGTGTTGGACCCCCTAGCTCTGAAGCAGAAGGTAGCAGCAGTGGCACAGTGGCACTGTGGGATGGTCTGGTTCTGTGTGCAAGGAGTAACAGTGGCATGCTTGGATGCATGCTGCAAATGATCTGCAGCTCTTTGTTAGTGCGTAAGAGCAGGCACACTGGATCTCGAGAAGGGCATAGCCTGGTTTCTGGTCTCTGGCAGAGGAGGATAGAAGGTGCCTAGAAGGAAGTAGAGTAGGGCAAGCCTTTCAGATTCCTGCAATCAGTGGATTCTCCACAACTTCAAGCAGTCTCTTGGGACCTGATTTCCTGAAGCTGTATGTTCAGCTTTGACAGCTTTGACCAGTTTTTCATCTGTGAAATTGTCTGTTGTTTTTTGTACTACATAATTTGTCATCCACACAGTTCAATAGGCAGTTTTGCATACTGCAGCATGCACAAATAGTGATTTAAATTAAAATTATATACAGTTATTTAATGTTTTTTGAATACAGATTACTAAGCAATTGTCAATAGAACTTGATTCAGCACGAGCGCAAGTACTGGAAATTCAGAGTCTTCTGAAAGAGAAAGAAAAAAGTGAGCAACATCTCCAGGGAAAGCTGAGAGAGTTAAAGGAATCTTTTGAGCAGAAGAAAAAACATAGTGAGACACTGCAAGCCGAATTAAAAACTGCCCTTTTAGAAAAGGTAAGGCTGGCCTCTCTTACTCCTTGAAGAAAATGAATGTAATTTTCTCTGATAAATGTTGCAGCTTTTTTGTCAATATCTTTGTGATAAACAGCTGTTTGCTGTAGTCCTGTTGGAAGTGAGAAGGTCAGGATGTGGAAACACGGTCTTCGGATGCTGTTGGAGATTGAAACAACAACAACATCAACAACAACAACTATGATAACATAAAAACAACCAGTGCTGCAATATGGATTCTGTAGGAATTGAGTTTCCATAAAGTGATAAAAATTGCTACATTGAGTGTGTTTATTTTGCTTCAGGAGCATGCTATGAGGCAAGAGCTGCCATTTTCTTGTAAAGCAGCAGAGTTTTCTGAGAGTGGTTTAGACAAACTTTGCAGTGCTTTGTAATGTCCATGGCAGTTTTAAACCAAGTCTTCTCGTATTATACAAAAAGAATTTATCTGAGTGACAGGATGAAACTCATAAACCATAATGAAAAGAGTTCAAATGTCTTAGAACGTTAAGGAATGTTGTGTTGTGTGCCGTGCACTGTTAAATGTTGCTGCAGCTTTGGCTGCCCTATGCTACGTGATTGTATTTGTGCTTTCATCAATCAGTGGAAACTTTAGGACTTGGAAACAGTATTTAGACCTTTGATGTTTGATCTTAATGTGTTTCACTTAGTCTTTTGACATGAATTAAATTTTGTTGCTAAATTAGTTACAAAATATTAGCATAAGATCACAAACACCAGATTACTGAACTGCTGTTTCATAAGTGGAGAAAAATCTTGTCTTGCAGTAGAAATGCAGCTTATTGAAGTGGTTAAGCTTACTTTACTGTCTGTAACTTTAGCTGAAACTTCCTATGCTTATGTTTCAGGCAGAACTGGAGAATAAACTGCAACAGCAGTCTATTTTGTCAGCACAGGAGCTTAAAGCGGAGAAAGTCAAGCTAGCAGACTTACAGAAGACCCATGAAAAACATAAGGAAAACATGGAGAAACTGCAGTTAGACCTTTATGGGAAAGAGCCTGAGCTGCTGGCAACCAGGCAAGACCTTAAGGTACTTACAATCATTTTAATGTCATATGTGATTTAGTAGATCTGTAGATCTGTTTGTATCCATTTTGAAGAACAAGAAACAACGCAAGAACTGTGTAGGGGGAAAAATCTCTTCTGCTATATGTAGAATTTAGTGCTGTTCAATCCTTTCCCCAAGGTAAAAGGACATCCTGAAACTGATTTAAAACCGAGGGAATTTGTCAGCTTACCTGAACTGCCCTTCCATTTGTGCAGCAGCAGTCTGAGCTGTAGGAGCAAAGTGAAAGATGATTTATTTCCGTGTTCTTTTAAAAGTTAATTTTTTGTCTTGCTTTTTGTTGCTATGTGTTGTAGCTTTCAATTAATTTAGATAGCATAGCTAATTAGGGCAAAGTCTCTGCCAGCATGTGAGTAACCGCTCTCGTCTAGATGATTTAGCTAGAATTTTAGTTTTCAGTCTTTTCCCATGTCCTTGCGTGTTTTGCTTCTTCCTGGCAGATTGTAGACTTTCAAGGATGTCAAACTAGTAAAAGCAGCAGGTTTAGGGGCCTGCCTGGAATACAGGTGTCTGAACTTAGTCTTTGAAGTTTTTCCTATTCCTAAACTGAGTTTATGTGATTTGGCATTAGGGTGCAGTGCCCTCAAAGATGTATTGCTGGGAGTTGAGTCAATGAGAAAAGATGGTTTTTGTCCTTTTTTTTCTGCTGCCCTCCTTCATGCCAGTGCTAAGCCAATGCTCCAGTTAGTCCTCTGTGCAGCAGAGACTGCCTGTCTACTGGCAAGATGTGTAGATATGGCACTTTTCTGTTCAGATAAATCCCACTCCAGCTTTGTCTGTGTCTGTCGGACACCTTTGTCTTAGGCTCTTCTGAAGTTTATAGAGAGAAGTAGGCACTTTGGGAGGACAGATCATCTGATCTGCTTTAGATGTCAGCTTCTCTTTGCTTTGTTGTAGATAAAGGAAGCCATTGGTAACTGCTTAGGTTTCAAAGCTCCCTTTCACCTGTCCTCGTGGAGGCCTTTCAGTCCCACCACTGAGTTCATTACAGGTTTTGTGGCCATTTCGGATAGGCCCATGTGTGCTGTGGAGCCCTAGCCAAGCTCCAGGTTTGAGGTTATTTTAAGAAAAAGAGAAATAGCTCCTTGGAGGCCATTGGAGTTTTATTAATCATACTCCTCCTCTGTAGCATTAGATTACCTGCTGCGTTTCCCTGTAAGTTACAGAAGCTTTACTTGTCAGTGCTTCTTGGTTGAATCACTATGTAAAAATGTGAAGAACTTTGTCATGATTAACAAGCAAAGGGGGTTTAAACATACTCTTTCTTACGGGTAGTTACTATAGCACATGTACCTCTATGAGTTAATTTCCTGTAATGCATTTAGATCAGCATTTGGTAGTGCAATGATCTGTAAAAGTGTTGGATGTGCTCAGTAACTGGCTTTTTTTGGTATAGTTTTCATTTAAGTATCGCTTGTAACAATAATAGCTCTGAATAAGCTTTATGACCTCTAGTGCTGGTAGGTGTAAACTAGGACAGTAAGTGTCCCATGTGCTATTAAACCTGAGTTAGCGAGAGAGAGAGAACATCCGTGCATAAAGGTAAAATAAGGTGATGGCAATGGGAAAACAAAACAAGATTGTTGAGATGAGCTATCAGATAACTTGGTTTGCTGTGTAAGTCTCTGTGGAGCCTAGAGAGTCTCAGGAAGATTGGGGGTCCTCGGTACTGAAGTGATGTGCCAACTTGGAGGCTGTTTGCTTGATTTTAAAAAAAATTTTAAAAGACGTGTATTAATTAGGATTAGTGAGGTCTGCTTGCCACCACTTTTTTCTGTAAAATGTAGAAGAGAGAAAAGGTGGGGAGTGGATCTTTAATCGTGGATGTGCTGTCTCATTGCAATGTTAACTAAAGAAGCAGCGATAACTTGTCTTGGAAGACTGCAAAGGAAAAAGCACATTCAGAAAGCCCCAGCATGATAATGTTAGTCATGAGAGCTGAATATCAAAATACCACTGAAGTCGGAAGAACTTTATGGTAGAGTTTCACAGTCCAATTCAGAGTCAATTACCTGGATTATGTTTTGCCTTAGGAGAGTTGTTTAATAAAAGCAGATAATTTGAGGCAGGGCTATGGATTTTGGTTAAAGTTTGGAACCGAAGCTAGTGGGTGGGCCAAGGTTCAGATTGGTCTTAATCTTACTAGTAGGCAGTAGTAGTTTTTAAAACTTGTGTGTAAGGTGAGCTTGGGTGTCTTTCAGTGCAGGATTTTCAGCAGAGATATCAGCTCCCTGCACAGCTGTGGAGTCCCCACGGTTTGAAGCTCAACGTGGTCTAGAACAGACAGGCCAGGCCGTATCATGAGATCCTAGCAAGGCTGGGTTTTCTTTAGTTAAAAACACTACAAGGGAAAATTTATATATTCTCATGTGGTGTAGCACCACGCTGTTGGTGAGGCGAGGATTTCAGGCATGGGGATAGATCGTAAAAGGCTGTAGAAGCAGATGGGTGACGTGAGCGGGGTGGTGGGTCTGGTTCCTGGGAGGGGATGGCAGGAGCTGGGCCATGCCCAGAGCACCATCTGCTGGCATCTATTCTGAATATCTCTGCTGGGATCGCTGGCTTATCCCTGGCTGGGAGACTGAGGTGTGACAGAAAAGTGAGCAAACGCTTCGTGAAGTTTTGCAGTTGGCGATACAGTGTTGCGTGAGGGAGGGCCGCGGAGGGGGCAGTTGCTCTCTGGGGTGCCATCAGCACGGCCGAATCCTAAATTCTGCTTCAGTGACAGAAGCTACGTAGCTACGTAGCTGTAGCTAGGTGCAAACTTTGAAGCCGTAAGTCTTGCAGAGGAACAGCCAGAAGTGTTGTAACAAATTAGGAAATGAGAACACAGCTATAATTTTATGGATACTGTTTGCTGCAAATTTACTGTGTTTTAAAAATGCACCGTCTGTAACAGTAACTAAACTTGTACATTTTTGTCTTTGTGACAGGAAAAAGAAATTGGGTGGGATTTGAGTGATTGTAAAAAAACACAGTTTTTGATTAAAAAGAAGAATACGTATAACAAAAAAATTTCTATAACGTATTTTTGTGCATATATATACACACACATGTACATAAAAATATATGTGTATATATACAACATATGAATATTTTTGGTGTATATACACACATGCAAAAAATACCCAATTTTTTTTTGTGGAAAAGGGAAGTTTTATGTAGAACAGTTAATAAAAATGGGGAACTGTTGTTTTTGCCTGATTTTGAGTTAGTGCAAACATACTTTGTGTGAATCCTGCTCTTCTGAGCTCTGCCAAGTATCCTTCAGTCTTGGCGTTTGTGCTTTTTGTAGTCAGTCCTGGTTTCTTCTGTATTCTCAAAAGAATGTTTCTTTGCCTCCAATATTGGCATCACTGTCAGTGTATCTTCAGTGGACGTGCTGGGACAGTATTCATGCTGCCAAACCTCAGGTCTGTGTGTCAGGAGCCTAAGTTGCCTACAGTAAGTCTAACCCTTCTTCTTAGAAATTGAGGAGAGATCAGGTTAGCATCTTTGAATAATTTCTTGTCTCTCCTTGTTGGCTGGAGTCAGGAAGGGAAGAAGATGAGACACAGACTAAAATGCTGATTTGTGCATCTCGCTTAGAGGGAATGAATCCAGGTCCTAACAGCCAGCTAATTCTGCTGTTGACACTATTATTTATACTGCAACAGCCCATGTTGTACTGAATCAGAGTGTGATATCTCCTTATATATTTATTTATTTATTTAAACTCTATACTAGTCATTCTAAGATCTGTTTTTATTTACAAAAATAACTACAGATTACCTTCATTTGTTCCATGCGTTCAGTTTTGTTTGCCATCCTAAATAGCAGTCTGATGGTTGGGGGTATCTTATAGGGAGAACGCCTGTCGTATTCTGGGAGCAATTGCAAAACTGAATGATAATTAAATAAGGTAAATGGCATCAGATGTTTTGGAAGGTGGTTTTATGTTAACGTTGTGAGCGCCTCAGCAGTCCAAAAGAATCAGACTGAGTTACAGTCTTAGTGGAGACTAAGCCAGGAGTAAGTATAGTAACTGGAACATTTAACCATGTGCCAGAAGATTTCTGCTCGTTTTGAAAGGGTGCTGTGAGGGACTTTTGAGCAAAGCAGAAAGAAAGGCATAAATGGATAGAAGAAGGTGCATTTACTGTTAAAATTATATTGAATGGTTTCCCAATTAAGGTGGGTAGCATCATTATTAATCAACACCGTTAGGAGGCACTTGTATATGTAAGTTGTAATATGCTAAAATGCATGCAAAATTCCAAGTCTCTTATATTAGAAACTACTGAGTTAAAGACACATTTGTGCATAATACAGTGTAGACTACACTGAATACTGGCTCCCCTCAAAAGATGTTTTAAATGGTCTTAGCCTAGATATAGACACAATGAGATAACGTATCCAGTGTAGACACTTTCGGGGCGAGCATTGAGAGAGGAATATTCCCTAGATGAGGCTTTTAATTTGGGCGTCACTGTCCACAGCCAATTTCATCATCCTGTGCTAACAAATTGATCGTAAGACATTTCTTCTACTGGAAATGAATTTGAATAAAAGCTGTGTCTTTGTTACACTTCTTTCTAAAACTGCGGAGACTATTGGGTTCTCCTGTGAAGATGTTCTGTGAGGATGCTACACTTCCCATCCTTTCTCTTTGTTAGGAAAATATGGTACTGTTAGGAAAATATGTCCACAGTGGAGCAGAGAGAGAGAGAATTTTGCTTTCTGAAAGACCTGCCTTGCTGCAAGCTTGAAACTGCAAAAGCACCTCCTGTTTTGCTTAAAACATTTTCTGAATTAACACCTTGTGAAGTGTTAGGTAGTAAACTCTAATAGCTCAGAAAGCAAATCAAATAATTTCTCTGAAAATTAATTTTAGAAGCCGGTCAGAGCTTTCTGAGAGCTACTGGGGTTGTTGAAAATGCTGTTGCATCAGCGGTGTTCCATCATTGGTGTTTCAAACTCAATCTGACTCTACAGGCAACAAACACGTTAGACATTACAAGGAAGGGTTAGGCGGCATCAGAAATCAATTTGATTTTAGATCAACGTGGCAGCTGCTAAAGGATATGCATACTTAAGTGAAGTCAAAGTTGTGCTTATTGTTCCTTGTAGAATCACTAAACTTCAGTGAGATTTGATTAGGATTTAAGTAAGAGCTTCAAAAAGAATTTAGCTTATCTTGGAAGAATTTAAATTCTTACGATGCACTGAAGGCAACAGATTTATCATGGATAGTAAATCTCCTCACCTCACATTCTGTATCTTATAATCAAAAATTTCCGTAGAATACCAGTATTTTGGAGGAGTGGAGGATGAGTTCAGTATTTTTCTTTCTCACTGGTTCTTTGTGAAAGAACATGCTTATAAGTGGAGCTAGTCCTTGCCTAGGCTGAAGGCTTTAAAAAGAATAACCTCCAGAATACTAACTCAAGAAGAACCCCAAAGTTTGACTTTGCTGTGAGCAAATATAATGAGCCTTGGGTGCAAATTTTAGGTTGTTTCTTGGGTTTTTTGAAAGCTGATGTAGAGAGACACATCCAAGTTCTTTTTCTAGGTAATGGTGAGAGTTGGAGGCCAATTAAAATACAGTCTGTGGTAGATTTTGAATGGGAGTTTAAATTTTGTATTTAAAGAACTGATGCAGCTTAGACTGAAATGTTTTGTCCTGACTTTAGCATTTTTAGGTTCTACATTTCATTTCAGGATTTTCAAAAATTCCATGATTGTCCTAGCAGTAGCTTCATGAAGTCAATGGTAAAAAATAGCACTGAATCCCTCACGGTGTAGCTTCACTGCCTCTTGAGTAACAGCTGTCTAAAGGTACAGAGCAGATAATGTGACCAGAGAATAAATTTGTGTGAGCAAATTCAAGTTCATTCTCTTTTCATCAAACAGTCACCTTTCATTCTCTGGCCTTTTGTGTGTTTTCACCTTTTCTCTGTGGAAGGATGCAAGTTGGAATACGTACAGTAAGGTATTACTGCTGGAAATGGTACTGGGGTAGTTTCTGTTTACTTAGGGTAACCTTGTAACTTAGAAGTTTCTGTAACTATGCTTTGTCAACATTTGAAGCTAAATGTGGCACACTAGATAACGAGTTTTCCATGTGGAAAATGTTTAAGTGACTGTTGAGTATCTGAAGCTCTTACACTGACAGGTAATTTGTAGAACTCTCTTTGTAATTAGTCCACAGAAGAAAAACTTGCTCTAACTCAAGAAGAATTAGTTTCCAGCAGAAATCGAATTGCTAGCAATAATCAGCAGATTCAAGACCTGAAGAAAGCAAAGTCTACACTGGAGCAGGATGCATCAAAGAAGGAGCAGCAGCTGGGCGAGAAGACCAAAATGTTACAGGATCTTCAGAATGACAGGGTAAATGCCTCTGTCTTTTGAAATCTTCACACAGACACATCCACCCCACGCAGGCACTCTTGACTGATATCCCTTACATCTCTAAACAAGGAGTATTTTGAGTACATAGCTCTGTTGTACTGAACCTCTGGTGCAAAGACTTCTAACAGTCAAAGTGAATGTGGTTTGAAATAGGCTGTTAATTTGTTCTAAGTGGCTAGGCAGATGGAAAAATGTTACTAGTTTTAAATCTAAAACTGCAAACATGCTGTGAATTGCGCTATGAACTGTGCATAGACATATGTGGCAGTTGTTTCCCCTTAATTGTAACTCCTCCAAGTAGGTTTTGGGCCCTGGATGGTTTTTATTTGTTTTTTTTATTTTTTTTTGCGAACTTGGAAGAAGTAACTTTTCTAGCACTTTTTATTTCTCTTCAAGATTTTGAAAGAAAAAGACTTGGCTAATGAAAAATGTAAAACAACAGAGCTCCAGGAAATAAGGAGTAGACTTGAAAAAGAAAGTGTCAAGCTGGCTGAAGAGCTTAGAGCCTGCAAGCAAGAATTTGAGAAGGTATATTGAGACAAACTGAGTCTTCGTGTGGTTGGTTATCTGATAAGAAATATGTGCCTACTCAGTACGTGTTATGTGGAATGGCTTTGCAAAGATGGTTGCTGTAAATACCAGTTTACAGGTAAGGGAACCAAAGCACAGATTTTGTTGAGGTTCCGGAGCTATGCTGACTTGATTAGTGGTAATCTGGAAACACTGGTGCCCAGTGTTCTTGGGCAGATGGAACGAGACATCACTTGTCTTAGCTTCAAGATGGGTTCTATGTCCTGGCTTTTCTTCTGTTCCTCTGTAGGTTCCATGTGCATACTCTTGCTTGATTATTCTGGGGTGCAGAAAAGATGTCCAAAAGTGTCATGAATGTGAAGTTTCCCAGATATTCTAGACACATCTGGTATGTCTCAGGGATGTGTAGTAGAGTTGAAACTCCCTTGATGTGCTGTGGTTTCTTAAAATGTCAGTTGGGGAAGAAACAATGTCAGGGGCCTCATAAAAGACCAGCTCTCTTCCAAAATCATAACAATCAAATGAGCTTTCTAAAGGGTAAAAGTTTGGAGGCTTTAATGAAATAAATTTTAGTCTTCAGTAAAACAAACTATTTCTTGCCCCATTTTTCTTTTTTTTTTTTTTTTTGGTCTCTGTAGAAACAAATACTCCTAAAAGCCCATCGTTTGTGTTTTCCATATTGTACTATTAGTGGTTATATTTGCATCGGTTAAAAACACATGGTTTAAATTGCTACGCAAGTATAAATGAAGGTACAGTCCCTATACACTAAGAAAGTAATGTGATCTCTTGTGAGTTTCAGATGTTCTTTTGTTCTCCAGTGTTCAGAAAATGTTTGCTTATTTTTAGATAGATATCTGTACTTTGTTTCTGTCAAGCAGTCTATGCCCAGTGCTTTCTTGGATTTTGGGAAAAGGTTACTAGAATTCTCATCGTTCCCAAAATCTCTATTCGAAAGAATAAAATTTATAAAAATGTATATAAAGTGTGTGCATACCAATGGCAGATTAATACTCATCTCTCAGTCTCCCTACAAGCATTCAGACTAAAACAGAAATGATCTCTTGAAGGCTGATACCCTGCTTCCCATCTCCTACCAAGGAATGGATAGATATGCATCTACAGGGCATCCCCCTGTCCTCCGGATATGTTTTCTTGCTGTCTTTGGTTTGTTTTTAATTTGTGACGCAGATTTTGATTTATGGAAAACTGGCAACTAACCGCTGTTAGTCTGTTAGTACCTACATGCTTGGCTGTGTAATTTTAAGGAAAATGATTCTTATAAATTTGACTAACAATTCTACTTCAGGATTTCTTATGTTTTATTGCAGAAGAACAAGTAAAACTAATGTTTAAAACCAAATGTATCATCCTACTTGCTTAAAACATCCTAATTATTTATGCATTTAAGACTAATAGAAACTAGCTTTCTTCCATCAGTGTTTGTTTTTTGCATTGTCATTATGATGCTTTTAACCTTATTATTGCAACCAGAGAACAATGTGAAGTAAATTTCAGAACAGGCTTTAGAAAATGACAATGGACATATCTTTTCAAAGAACTGTAGAAAATAATCCAACAGAGCTTCCCCTACTTTAGTAGAAACATACATCAAATTTATTTTTAAAATGGAATGTTGTTAATAATGTAGGTGTGAGTTTAAAATCCTTGATCGTGAAAATCACTGATACTTTGTGCAATAAAATCATCCTTTCTTCCTGTGAGAAAACTAAAAATTATTGCTGTCTTCTCATTGGAAAGAATCACAGTAGTTTTGATTTTAAATAATTACACTTTCAATATTACTACTTTAACTTTGAGCTCTGTATCCTAACAGGAGGTGGCAAATCTCAAGGATGCAAAACAGCTGTTGATTCAACAGAAATTAGAGCTGCAGGGCAAAATAGATAATATGAATTCAGCTCTGGAACAGGAGAAAAAAACCCAACAAGCTGTCAAAGATCAGCTGAAAAAGAGAGAAGAAGAGCTGAAGAAAGAATGTGCTGAAATTGAAGCTAAACTGGTTAGTATGTTAGAAAGTATAAGAGTGTTGTTTTCTGAGCATGCCCTTGGATTCTTTCAGGCACAGAGAAGAAGCAAAGAGTTGACATGGGTTTCATGTTACACTAATGTTTAAATTACAAGGTCAGAAACCTTTGAGACATTTAATGGTGTAGGAAAATGAAGCGGGATGACAGGCTTGTCTACTAGGGTTCGCTAAGGTTGTTTTTCTTTGTTCCATTGTTTTCTTAGCACACAGAGAAAAAAGAGAAAGAAGAAGAAAACCGGAAACATGAGGAAAAGGAGACCAAGCTCACCATGCAGGTCACAGCTCTGAATGAAAACCTGGCTACCATGAAGAAGGAGTGGCAAAGCAGTCAGAGGCGAGTGAGCGAGCTGGAGAAACAGACGGATGATTTACGTGGGGACATTGCTGTCTTGGAAGCAACAGTGCAGAATAATCAGGATGAGAGGAGAGCGTTGCTGGAGAGGTAAGCTGTGGTCATGATGATGTGGAAGCGTGGTCTGGGAAATGGATAACCTCAGACTGATAACTTGTTTTGGTTGATTCAGGATTCTCTGTGGGCGCTTTGTTTAAATCCGTGTTTCTTCCTAGTGCCTGGGGTGTGAGTGCAGTTTACAGAGTGCAACCTTGTCATCCCTGCCAAAGCACAGCAAGCAGTGTTAGGAACAAGCTGTGCTCTTGTGGGCTTTGACAGGGTGACCATTCTTTAGAAAATCAGACAGGCTTATCGGGACCTTTGTTGTCACCAAAGCCACAGCTCTGTGCTTGTGGTCGAAGATTTATGCCTGTCTGTCAGAGCCTTCTAAATCTGCTGGGCTCCTCTGAACTTTGAGGTGTCTAGGTTGAGGCTTGTCACCTCATCTGTGGTGTGAACCTTGCAAGGCCTGGTAGAGAGGTCTTCTCTTACCTGAGTTAACTACTCTCCATCACACTGAGGCTCCTCTGCCTTGACTCAATCAGAGTAGATGCACTAGTCATCCAGAAGCCTGGAAGAGACTCCTTAGTGCCCCCAGGAAAACAGAATTTGCTTAGGGACTCCTAGGTATGCCCACTCTCAGTGTTAGGAGACTGAACGTGTTATTGGATTAGTAAGGCTGAGGTTCACGCACAAGGCATTTTCTTTTCTCTGATTCTGCTGTTGTCCCTAAAATGTATTTAAGGCTTAGATAAGCAGAGCACCTTTCCTTTAGGCAGCAGGAGGCATGCAAGGCAGCAGGATTACCTGAAAGCAGCGATTGCAAAGGTAGAAGAAACACCTGTGAGACAGCAAAATTTCTTCGTCCTTTTTTCCTGATAATGTTTGGTGAAGGCAGAGTGGAAAACTTTTCTCGATACTGTCGAGCTTGCTGATTTGGTTTTTGAGCAGTAAACCTTGGGAAAGGATGGGATCAATTCAAGTGAGATCCTCTTTCCTTGGCAGTCCCTTGCCATACTGTGCCGAGCTCATCCGGTAGCTGTTTACAGCTTGGCAGAAAAACACCCTTTGAAATTTGGCTTTCAGCAGTTAACTGAATTTCAGCTGATGGGAGGTGGCCTTGCTAAAAGAAAAAGGGTTCTTTTCTGCCGCTTTGTCTGACCTGGTCTGCTGCAGCTGGTTCATGAGGGTGTCCTGTTGCAGAGGGGTGCTTGTCGGGGCTTGCTGTTGGTGGACTGCATTCAGTACTGTCACTGGTTTTATGAGTAACTCTAGGTATTAATAAGCCCCAGATATATGGGAGCAATGCCAGATAATCTTAAATTTATTGGTAGACCAGAACATTTTTCCAGCCAAGGCATCCAAGAACTTTTCACAGCAAGGGTATTTTTGGCTGGATTTTAGAAGAGCAGCTTCTCAGACATGACAACCTGCCCAAAGGAGGCGGTGTACATTGCCTTATGTGCTAGAAGCTGACTATTTACTGGTTTTCCTCAGGTGTATAAAAAGTGAGGGAGAAATTGAAAAGCTTCAAGCCAAACTTGTGGAAATGAAGAAAAAGCTGGACAACACTACTGCTGCAATGCAGGAACTTGGCCGAGAAAACCAGTCATTACAGGTATAGTTTGATTTGAAGCAATTAAACGTGTTGATTCTCTCTATGGGAACTTAGGAGAATTTCAGGTTTGTGTCAGACTGGTGGTAGGTTACCTTTCCAGGGCGATCAGGATGTTATACTTGTGGTGTACGAGGGCTGTATTGCTGTCTGTGGGTTCTTAAATCTGCTCATAGTTTTGAAATTTGAAAGATTTTCTCTCTGAACAAATATGAGCTCTAAGTGTCCTGGCAGAATTGATTCTTTTATACCGCACTGAGTAGTGTGTGCAGTGAAAATAGGGGAAATCAGTAGGAATTACACATGCATGTTTTTTTATGTCTTCTGTATAGATCAAACACACCCAAGCTCTCAACAGGAAGTGGGCAGAAGACAATGAGGTACAGAATTGCATGGCCTGTGGAAAAGGCTTTTCGGTGACAGTGAGAAGGGTAGGTGTGTTTTACGGTGGGTCTGTGGGGATTTTCTTTTATCTGTTGTTTTCAAACTCTTAGATGGAATACTAAAACTTCAGAAAATGGCCTGAATAGTGCTGTGATACTCAGGACATCTCAGAATACAATTATTGCTTGTAGTGCCGTAAATATTAAAAATAACATTTGTGGAGCTTACTTTATTCATGATTGTTTTGCTGTTTTAACAGCATGAGTTTATAAACAGTGTTAAAATAATTCAGTCCCCTGAGAGAGCAAGCAAAATTACGCTGTTGTAAGGATATTTACAGTGAACGTATTTATAATCAGTCTGAACTGGATTTACAGGTATAAAAGGAATATAAATTTGTTGAAATTAGATGTATGTGAAAATACGAGGCATCAACATGATCTGGTGCTTTGTGACTGTTTCTAAACACTAACGAGACATGGAAGAGAAGAGACAACTGGATGTGTTTTAGGTCTGTAGTCAGAGCTTGTTTGTATAAACAGCTGTGGTCAGCTGAGATGTTAGCATCCCTCAGCTGGCAGGGTCTGTCCTTCACCCAGAGATTACCATCGCTCCAACAAGTGACTTGGCAATGAAGCAGATGGGGGATATTCATGAGGTTCATTTTGCACTTGGTCTTAGGTGGCTCTCCATGTCCTGCATTATTTGTAGTGATGTTCTTTGGGTAGCAGTGGAACAAAGGCTGCTGGATCCTTTGATTCCAGGATACCTCTCAGTATGAAAGCAGGTAGTTACATGTAAGAAGAACGTGTTTTATGTGACCAGAACAAGTTCAAGGGGAGAAATTCAAGAGGAGGATGAACTTCAGCGAGTTCATTTCTGAAACTGATAGAGCCTCCCAACTCTGTGACGTGTTTCTGAAAATTTTACTCTATACCCTTTAGAAAGGGTTTACTCCTGTGCCCTTCTGTGTGCTGTGTAACTACTATTTAAAAATTCAAGCTAACTTCTGGAACGGGAGAGTTAACTTGACACGATAGTGGTGTCTGTTAGTGATCGATACCCTGTCATTGATGTTCAGCATGTATGTTTCTTCTCTTTCACAGCATCACTGTAGACAGTGTGGAAATATCTTTTGTGCCGAGTGCTCAGCAAAGAATGCCTTAACTCCTTCTTCTAAGAAGCCTGTCCGAGTCTGTAATACTTGCTTTAATGACTTGCAAGGATAACTGGCTATCGTGAGTGACAAAGAAATGTTACACTAAAAATTATAATTTCTGTTGATGCACTTCATTCAGCACTCAGACTACTATTCAGTTTGGACAATGATTGTAACACTTGGCAAATTTTAGTATATTTTAAAATGTTTATTGATACCAAGTAAAACTGTTGTATTTTTTGTGAGACATGGGCTCAGATCATCCATAGCTTATTGCCATTTATCCTGGAAAGAGCTTCTATGTCAAGATTAGAAGTACCCAGTTATTTGTAAATAAAGTTTAAACAGAGGAGTAACAATGTATTTTTTTATCTTTTATTTTTTTGCTCAAGAGAAACAGCATTTATGTGATACTGCAATTTATTCTTGTTTCTTCCGAAGAGAAAGGAAGATACAAAAACTTGTGAGGATTTTATGTATCAAATGTTGCTGTAAAAGCATAACTAATTGTTGCATTTGATTGCATATCTGATGTTCTTTATAATCCCTTGTGATTTTGTTTTCTTTCTATCTCCCTGGTTCTTGGACTTTTCTCTCTGAAGTGAGGGTAACGGCTGGACTGCACTCCAACTCAGTTTTATTTGCCCACTTAGATGTACTATCGGCACCCGAGTCCTTATCCAGCTGCAGTGCTTGGATACTGGAACAGCTTTACACATACTGTATTGCATAGTTTGTGTGTGTGTCTGAGAGAAAGTATGTGTGAACAAATGATGAGACAAAGTTTAGTTGGCATTGTAGGAATATTACATGATATGGTACAATATTCCATCCCGTATTGATTGATTTCACTTTTACATATTCGGTTGATGGATTTCAATAATCCAGAGACCCTTATATGTGGGTTTTAAAAAGCAAACAATCAGTACTGGTAGTAGTCTGTAGTGCATCTCTCCCCCTGCCCATACCCTGGAAGCCCTGAGAGGTCCTTGAGGTTTCAAGGGACATCCAGAACTTCCACGCTTGGTATCCTACTAAGAAAAAGTCTTTTTTTGAGACTGCTGCAGTTTACCTGACCGTTTCTTCTGTCCCTTCCCTCAGCTTCTGGTGAAAGAAGCTGAACTCCTGCTATACCTAACAAACCTCAGTTTTCTGTTGCTGCATCTGACTCCCATTACCAAGGAGTCTTAAATGTTATGTTAGTTATATGACTTAGTCTGCTCAGAACAGTGGTGTGAATGTCCTGCTACTGGCTTAGTTATAAGCCAGACAGCTCTAAAGAAGAGGCCAATATGTGTGTCTTCAGATATTTATTCGTATTTTCTCTCTGTACTTCCATCAGAGGTTTCTTGTAGCATTCATGTAGGCTCCAAACTTTTTTTGTGTCGTGATTTTATTTACACCTGTTTGTTTTTGCCTGCCTCTCTCTAACTTTTCTTCCCTTTGTATATGGTATTTCAAAACCGTTTAGGTTATTTCTTCCAAGCATGGGTTATGCCTTCCAATATTTAGAGACTTCTTGTCTTAAATATCCTAATAAATTCCCCACACCCCTCCTGTGTCTTACAAAGTTGTGCCAGCTGTTCAGAGAAAAGGACTGTGTTGTGAATTCCTCTATTTCTTGCCTGAGGTAAGGAATCAAATTCTGTCAGGATGATGGAAGCTTAGCCGCCATTAGGCAGGTTCGTTTGCTTTTGTCTATTGACAGCTCTCGTATGTGAGTGAAGAAGAGTCTCTTTTATGAAAAATGTCTAGTCTTGATTAACTCTCAAGTGAAAGTTCTTAACTCCTCTTCTCCAGTAGTGAACTATATGTTTCATATCTCTTCTTAGCTTAGCTGTCTAGTTCTGTCTTGGCAGCCTCAAGGAGTCCTCCTCAAGGAGTTGTCTTAAATTCTTATTTCCCAAAAGCCAGTGGTAGTATGTAACTGATTCTCCTCACTGCAAAAGGGTTTGGGATACAACCTTTGTAGTTGCTTGCTGAAAAGAAACAATTGCTGCAAGGATTCCATATGAGCAGAGCCTCTGGACTTGCTGTTTCTCCTCATGAGTGAAATTGTTTGGCATAAAAATCTTTTGAATAGAAATATGAACAGAATCTCTGACTCCGGGAATTTTTTTATTTTCTACCAATTTATTTATTGAGAGAATCTGAAGAGTTTGTCTTCGAGCCGCAGAGCCTCTCTGCTCTGTTGTGTGACACACAGAGCCTCGTGCTGTTCTTGGGGTGAAGGACCACCACGTGGAGCAGGAGGGATTTTAAGAGGGAAGAAAGAAGCCTCTCTTGCTGCATGAAGGACAAAACACGTGAGGCAAACAGAAATCTCTTAGGGGGAAGAAGGGGAATGATTAAAAGACTCACTTGTGTTCAGGCGTTTCGCTTGTGAATAGGAATGTGTGAAGGCTGAGGAGAGAGCTGTGCAGTAAAGAGGAAGCGGTAGAAGCTCGAGAAGCTCTGAATTGTTCTTAATCCAGCCTTTTGCGATGGCTTTGTGTAAAGGCAAGCGGAGTCACCTCGCTCAGCTGGCTGCCGAAGCAGTGCGGTTGGTTGACTCTAGATCAGACCTTGGTCTGGGGCTCTGGAGCACCCTGGCTTCAGAGGCAAAACCAGCTTGATTTCTGAAGGTTGCTTTTTGCTGACCAGTTTGTGTGACTGTCTTTTGAAGGGATGGAAGTGCTTTTTAAATAAACATTTTTAGAAAGAGGGATTGTTAAAATCTGGAGGAACAGTGCTGGGCTAGAAGCTTTTTTCCTTGAGCTTGGAGTCTGCAGCAATAGGTCAGGATTTCTACAGCTTTTCATGGGAGCAAATTTGTAACTGCATTGCTAAACCCTGTGCTCCTTCTTTTATGCTTTTTAGTGCTGGTCTGTATTTGTTGACAAGTTGATGGTACAATAGACCCTGTAATGCTCTCAGCCCCACTGTTGGGTTGGAAGTTGTGCTTAAGCTCAATGAAATGACCTAGGAGATACATAATAAGGGAAACTGGCGGGTGAAAAGCTCTGTATTTATACATCTGCTTGCAGAGTCTGACTGTTTTGGTGGGCATGTTGTCAGTAGGAATGTGGATTTTTTTGTTGCACTGCTTTAAAATATAAATAATAGGAAAACCTAATAAAAAGCCTGGTAACTTTTACCACACTGAGTTAAAGGATTCCAGACAAAATAGTTGAATGCACTGATTTTTCAGACTGCAAACACAGGAACAGGGGGAAGTATTAATAAAATGGAAGAAGAGGCTAGAGCCTTGGAACTGGAGGATGCATAGCGATGTGTTTTAGCAGCCTCTAGCAAGAACCAGATTGCTCTGATTCACTGAGGACAGGCCATAATAGAGCAAGAGATGGAAATAATGGTAAAACCAGTGCTCAAACCAGTAGTTATGTGGGATCCTCAGGCTGCCTTTGATTACTAGCTGTTACCATGGCATCAGAAGTGGGACAGTGAAGTGTGGGGTTTTGTTCTTGAAACTGTCCCCGCTGCAGGATACTCCATCCACATTCAGAATCAGAGTGTGCGAGACCAGCTGCTACGCAGGCTGCGACAAGCTACGGAGGCAATGGGAAAAGTGTGCAGGATGCTCTTGTTAAGGGTGGGAAGAGGTTCTTTAACTTCCTGGAGACGTCACCTCTCTTCCCGCTCAGACAGTCACAATGCCTTGGGTTGTTGCCTCCAGAATGCCAAATCCTAGTGTTCTGCTCCAGCCTGATGTCAGCGACACAGACTTCATACCTCTGTCCTGCAGTGCCTCTGGAGGCAGGTAGCGTTGCGACATCAATGGCAGGCTTTTGAACTTGGCTGGCTGTGCTGCACTCTTATTTCTTTTCCCTGTGTATTCCTTCCTTCTAGAAATCTTCCCCTTTCTGCAAAGGTTGAACAAAGAGGATAAAATTAATGAGTCACAGTAGGAGAAGTTGCTGTCTGCAGATGAAGAGACAAAAGGAATTTTCTGCTGCAGCTTCCAACTGAGGCAAGAGGTTTAGAGGGATCTCGTTTTTCAGTTGGCTTCACTCTCTGGCACAAGAGTCCAAGTCTCTAGGGTACAGGGCGGTTTTTTTCCTCTGTTTTTGGAAGGTGTCAAGTAACCAAGTTGCCATGGAGTGTGGAGCGCTAGGTACACAAGAACAATGAGTAACTATTTTTGTTGGTTTTGGGACGATGAGGATTATTTGTGAATCCTCACTGGAAAAGCTTTCTTAGTGAAGCAAGAAGAGATTTGGGAGCAGAAGCATGAAGGAACCTTGCTGTGTTTCTGTTACATTAGCGAGAACAATTGAGTCTCTCATGCTAGATGTAAGAGAAGAGACGTTCCTAAAGAAGGGACCTGGAAAACTCAAGTACTTTTTTTGAATGTTAAATGTCAGTTAAATGGAAAATGGGAACAGATGCTTTTTGCAAAACTTAAAAATTTATGACCAGTACTCAGTGGCAGACAGAAAACGGCTGAGTCTTAAGTTCAAACAGCACATTATGCCAAGAAGAACGATACCGTGGTTTGAGTATGTTGAAACTGATAAATTGCTCCTCCAAGTAGCATCCCTCCCACTCTCATATTTGTGGAGGACGACGAAATGACACTGTCATTTGCACTATGCACTTTTTGCTGTCTAACCGAATATAATCTACAGTAAGTGGAATGGCATCATTGGCATTGCATGTGTTAGCTGTCATCGATGAACAGAAGGTTTATCTTCAGCTGGGCTTTTCACTGTATTACATTTGGCCCCTTGCTAAGTAAGAAGAACTGCACTCGTAATTCCTTTGTACCAAAAAAGCCATCATCATCTGAGAGCATGTAACAGCAGAAACCGTGTAGTCACACACACATTGTCTTTACAAGAGTTTCACCTTAAGATTATGAAATGAGAAAACGTGAATTTTCTGTATTTTCAAGGGTCTTGCCAGTTGTCCAGTTTTTAATTTTTCAAGTCTTGACCTCAGCACCCCTTCTAGGACGTTTAAAAATATTGCCCAACCACAGCCTCTCCAAAAGCACTACTAAGGGGTGTACTTCTCAACAGCAATAGTTGGATAGTAAAGTCCCTCCACAGAAACTGAATTTTGGGAATATTGTTTTGTTCTGTTTTTTAAAGGGCACTGAACAAAGAGGTTTGCGTCTTTAGAGAGAACATCAGATGCCGCTTACGATCATAACAATGAGGAGGATAGGTACTAGTTAATGTAATAAACTGCCTTTTGTCTGTAGCTCACCACACACTATGCACGCACGGTGCAGCAGGTACAGGAGTATCTGCTCATTTGGAGATTACTGAAGCCCTGCTAACCCTTTTGGATCAACATTACTGTGAAAGCAGAAGCCTGGTAGGTGTTTCCCAATTTTTCCTCCCCTGTGACCTAAACTAAAACCGAATTCATCTGTATTTCCTGCTGGTTTTGGGTAGAGAGGGCTGGGAAAGATTGTTTGTTGTCGTATGTCAGCAGGCCGGTGCTGCCAGGTCCAGACTCCCGCTGTTGGCTTTATGGCAGAGTGCTCCGTTGTATCGCGCTAAAGCTTGATTCCTAGCACAAAAGGGATGTTGGAAAGACAATGTCTCACTGGGTTAGCAAATACCAGAACTTTTTATAGTAATGTGTCCAAAATGCTGCTTGTATAGAATTTGTCACTTTTGTAAGAAAAGGAAAAAAAAAAACTGCACACAAAAAAAAGATCATAAAACCCCACCACTTGATGCCGTTACATAAGATTTCATTTAAACTACCTCTCAGCGTGAAATTCAAACATTAGGTAAGTTTAATAAGGCTTGCTCACTGTCACGTTATGTAAAACTTATAGTGAATGCCAAAATTGCAAAAGTTTATCACCAAAAAGGTATAAAGTTAAGTCTTTTTTTATGTGTTTGAAAGTATCCAGTAGTTTAAAGTTATTGTAAACTCTGTTATATTCTTTTAACTTCTGTAGTTTCAGTCTTGCAAACTCTAGCTGCTGGACAGGAAATAAATCATAACCCCAAGCTTTCATAATCATGGTCTGCTGGGTGAAAACAATTTTGTATGCAGCTTTGTCATGTGGCTGTCCAGAGCCTCATTCACCAAGTGTACTGCTGATTTAGTCGTCTTTTTTTTCTTCAGTACTTGAGGTGTGAGCTTGATGAATGGTATTCTGTGATGGACACGTGCCACAAATTACATTGTCTTGTTTGCCTCTTTTTCTGAATTTTAATGATGAGTTTATTATTGCAGATGTGAATATTGCTCATACAACTTAATTTCTGTATAAATGTATAAAATATAAATGGAAGAAGTTTTAAGTTCTTACCCGGTATTTAGAGGTAATGTATTATACTAGCCTTATGTTGCAGTTTTACCTACAGAGTACTGCACTTCTTTTAAACTGGATCATACCATCTCAGTAGGTGTAGATGGATTTTTTGCATGAGTGTGTTTCGGTTTTGTTTAATTGAAGTTCAGTTCTCTTTAAGTTCTGTTTTCAGTGTTTGTGTTTACTACTTGTGATCATGTAGTTGTGCCTTACATTGTGGAAGAATTTGGTCCAGCGTGCACTGTAATTCCTAAACTCTGCCGTTTGAAAGGTGGCCGTGGATTTGGATGAGAAAATGACACCATACATCAACTGGTTCTGCATAAACTACGACGAAATGTTACTGAATCGTCATTTTTGTTTTCTAACCTGTTAAAGGAATGGTTAATGACAATAAAAAAAGTAAATTAGACCTTTCTAATAGACCATTTCTGTCATTCAAAACTAGCTTGCCCCGCTTCAGACAGCAAAGGTGCTGAGAAATGGGGGATGTATCATCTTACAAATGAACTGTTGGGAAGCCACACACCTAAGAACAAGCTAAATGCTCCACTTTCTTAGACCTGTGGGGAGCTGCAGCAAAAGCTTTCACGTTCCTGAGGAGGCAGTGATAATGACTGTTTTTCAAATCTAGTCTTTCACAAGTTAAATTCAGAGCAGTTTTTCCATTCCCAATAGCTGCTGGGTCTCCTGTGTTCGGTTGAAGTCCTGGTGTCACTGGCTGTGTTCAGACATGGCATTCAATGGAGCTGGACAACTGGCATAACTGGAAGACTCGAAGTAGCACTGGTGTTATTTTTTAGCCTAATGAAGGGCTCACTTGTGAGATGGAAACCTCTTTCAGGGTGGAACTGTGTTGCAGAGAGAAACCAGGTGATTAACGTGTGTGTGATCAGTCCCATGACAAAGCCACTCTTGAATTGTGGGGGTATTCACAAAAAAAATGTATTTAGCTATCAAAGCAGATCTTCCTAGGGGCTCTGTGTAGAACAGTGGAGAAGGACGGAGAGAAGAGGTCTCCTCTGAAAGGCAGTTTGTTTTAGGGAGTTAATTTTGGCCTCAGCTGCTTTCTGAGGTATCTTTCTCTCCAGACCGCAGAAGAGCCTGTTGAGCTTATGTCTCCCTGAAGACAGCCTGTGTGTGGGTATGCCCTTCCCCTGGGGTGTCCTTCTTGGAGATGTGCTGGCCTCTGGGAAATATGGAATCCCTGGGACTGTTAGTTGTCTGGTGAACTCAGCAGACCTGGCTTAAGCTCATTTTGGCAGAAAATACACAGAGGAGTAAAACACCCCCTCCCTTCTGCCAGCACATGGAGCACAGAGCTTAGTCTGTCAGGTGTGACTTCTCTGGGCCTGAAATCTCTGGTACCAGTGTTGGGTTCAAGATGCTGTGGGGCTGGAAGGGGGACGGCGTGATGCAGCGTGCAGCTGAGCTTGGGGTCTGGGAGCTGCGCACAGCTGTGTAAGCCGGGTTGTGGGTAAGCAGTTGCAGCTTGCGTGGTGTCCTGGGGTGGATCTGCTGTCTCAGCTCTGTTCTGCTCCCCTGCCATAGACATTCACGGCTTGGCATGGAGCCTGGGTGGCTGTTCCTTTCCCAGGAAGCTGTGGCAAGAACTTGTCTGTCACAGACACGGGGAAGAGCAGGAACGTGTGCCACAGCGGCCCAGGCTGCATCTGGAGGGTGCTGAGCCAGGTGCGTACGTGCGTACATACATAGACACACACATGCATGCAGCCTCCAGACCATAGCTTGTGTGTGCAGGTGAACCAGCTCAAGGGGATGAAATGTACCATGGCTTCAGGGCAGGGGGAGCTGGGGGGGGAGCTGGGCTGGGGGCAGTGCTTGAACCTGGCACCGACCGCGTTCTGGAGTAGGGGTGAATGTGAAGTGGATGCTGACTTTCCCGTGAATAGTGCCAACAGCTGGAATGGTGCTCCTGTGTTCTTCAGCATCGTCCTCATACGTGTGGCCTCTCTGCTCAGTTCCACCTGAAGTCATGTCTGACCCCGAGGGGATATTCTAAGGACTAGCTTTTTTGCTGAGGGAGACTCGCGGACTGGGGACAGAAAGTGGGAGAAGTGGCAGATTCACTTAGACTGGCTGCAGGGAAGTCTCCTTTTCTCTCTCAACCCTGGCTGCTCTCGGGGGATTAGTCTGGGGAGAGCACCCTCCATCTGTGGTAGTAACCTGTGCAAATGTTGTGGCAAGCAGTTGCAGGCTGTGCTGTGGGTCTCTTCCAGTACCTCAAAAAGAGGGGGAAAAAAATAGGGGCACACATGCTATGTGGACCACAGGTCTGGGATAGCAGTGAAGTATTGAATGGTTTCATGCAAAAGGAACTCACAAATTTGTGAAGCAAACAAACTCTAAAGGCTGCAATGGGTGTAAATAACGAATGGTGACACATCTGCTGTTAATAGTGCTGAAAACCTTCAGGTAAAAAAAATAAAGCCCAAATAAAGCAAGGCATCATTGCACTTTTGTTCTTTCTGTTTATATATTTTGTAGCATCTCTAGTTTAACTGAATGATGTATATAATTAAGAACTTTTTCAAAGAAACTTAAATAATCTCATTTTAAAAATTAATAAGGAGTCAACACAATATATGCTTTTACTGATCTGCCTCCACAAGTTCAATGTTAATGCAAAAAACATCTTGTGATTTCTTGTGATATTATATTCCAGAAGTTAGACATAACTAATAGGGACCTACGGCTATACAATTTTAATTTTGTGAAATTTGTTAATACAGTTTGCATGATGTTGGAATAACCCTTCTAGACTTTTCTGGTGAAGAAGTTCTCACCAATGCAGTTTTTTTGCCTGTCCTGCTTTGCAGGAACCAACAAGCTGTATTAAAACTTCCCTGGATGGCAAGAGCCTTGCCCTAGCTGAAGCAAAGAAGCTTCTACAAGCGATACATTTTTTGCATAGCTCATTTTCCCCCTCCAGTTTATTCCTACGTCCTGTGGTCAAAACACATCACTTCTGTCTAGTGAAGTCAGAAATCTGTTAACTTCAGAATCTTAAGGCATGCTGGGAGGAACAACTGTGTTATCACCACGGTAGTCTTCCACTGGATCTGTTGGTGCTGTGCTGACATTACTAAATTTCAGAGGATTCATCTGGGAAGCAGAAAGCAGTGCTTTTCTTGGTTTCATGTTGCGTGGTGTAATTGGAGATTGCCGTTTCTATCTGTGACATCCATGCTTTCTGTAACACAAAAAATAATTGGTAAACCGAGACAATCTAAAAAAGTTGCAGTACTTCAGATACATAAACACTCCAAGCCTTTAGTTTTGCTTAGTGTTTCTTCATACCCACGCTCATAATTCCTGAAGTGAAGATGAATTATCCCAGAACTGAGACTCTCCGGTTGCTGAGGCCAACACGCCGCTGTCTGTGTCTGGGCCAGCGATTTCCAGCGGAGGTTTCCTTTTTGGTTGGAAGGTAGGATTTTAATGCTCTGTTTGCTTGAGATGGTGAAGTTTGCTGCAGGCTATTTCACCTGTTTTTTATGTATTATTTATTAATTTGATGCTGTCCCTGCAGTTTGGGCTCCCTGTTCCTCTGATTAAGACAGGTCCAGTGCTGTCAGCATCACAAGTTCTGTCCCCCTCCGAGACCTGTCGTGCTGCCACGTGAATTTCGGTTTCTAGCATCACGCTGACAGCATTCAGCTCTGTATGCGCTGTCATTCAGGTATGAGGGCAGGGGGTGGTGGCTGGAGAGGTGGGTTTAAAATACGTAACTTCCTTCTCTCTGTGCTAGCCCAGATGATCTGGGTCACAGAAGCTGAGTTGTCTCTGAATTGCTGTGATTAGACATTACAAATTAGCTGGCAGCAGCATGGGCTTAAGGCCTAGCTGTGCTTCTCCCGCCCCAGGGCTTTTATTTTGCCTAGTCAGGAGCTGATGTCCCTGCTGTAATTCATGTGGAGACACTGAGCTTTGATGCAAAGAGTAGAAATGCAAGAGAAGGAGCAGCCTGTTCTGCTTCATGCTGCGCTGGGATTCATAAATTTTGTTATTGACCCACCTGATTGTTTCTTGGGCATGTTTACACCCTGAATGGGTTAGATACATCGCTTTGAAAAACAGGAAGCTGGAGAGATGACTTGCGTGACCTACAGGTCTGAGGAGTCCCAGCAGCGGATGCAAGCAGAAGCTGTACGTGCCTGGCAGAGCGCAGAGCCCGGCTGTGGCGCGAGGTGGTGGCTCTGCCCCCTCGGAGCTGCCGGCAGGGGAGGGTCCAGGGTGGTGGTGGTGGTGGTTACACAGGTGTTTGGCAGGTGGTAGTGGATGTGTAGGAGGCAGGATTTGAACTGCCGAGCTTTCCAAGGCTCAGGGCAGAGAGCAGGGGACAGGGAGACGAGAGCATGTGGCCGGGCAGTGCTACGGGCAGGATGAGCGACCGCAGCGTGTTCCAGGTCTGTGTTTCCATGTGTCTGCTGAGCATGGGGTCTCCGAGAGAGAGGTGGGCCAGGGAGCCTGAGCCTCGTGAGGGAGCCGGGAGCCGAGGCAGGCACCTCACAGGCATCGGGAGGTCTAAGAGGCGGCTCGCAACGTAACAGGTCGCTGCTTGGCAGGAGTCAATGGGAATGTGGTGCTTACGGCTTCATTTGGTTTGCTGTCTCCCTTTTCCTGTAGCTTAGCTGGCTCGAGGCCCTGGTCTGATGGTCCTCACCAGTGTCGAATCATCTGGATCATCTTCCTTTCTGCCTTGCAGAATTGTGTCAGCTAAACCCATGAGCTTGTCTTGGGTAGCAAAGTTTCTTTAAAAGATATATTAATCATGCTGAGATTGGGCTTCTTGAGTGCTGAAATAAGGTTGTTCACTCAACCGTTCTACCTTTCCTAGGGCTCAGAGCACTCAAAGTCAACAAAATGCAGTAATGCCACCACATCCAAGTGAAAAGAATGTTTCACTGCAGGGTTTTCTCCTTTGATAAACTGGACTTGGGAGAAGTTGAGAAGATGGCAGCCACCTGATGTGAAGGCAGCTTGCGAAGGAGAAGGTAGTATTTCAAGAACAGGAGGAGCTAACGATTTCCGAGTAGATACCTATTCCAGGTACGAACCAGGGACTTGACAGTGGAAAGAATTCACTCAGTGCTTTTCCCTGAAAAAGTCCTTCTGCTGCAATTTATTTTTAAGAATTAGTATTAGTCACAGTCAAATTTCTGTGCATTAGGTATTAGAGAATGAAATTCAACTTACAGGAGAAAAAAAGCCCACTTCTGAGAAGTGCCTGCCACACACCTTCAGATGTTATGTACAGTGCTGTTACTAGAAATGTGATGTGGTGTGAAAATGAGGGGTAAATTTATATAACAGTGGAATTAATCATACCATCTGTTCATCTGCAATTGCAAAATGTGTGTTGTGCATAGATAAGCATGATACAGTTTTCTGATCTGAGTACTACTGCATAGGAGTTGGGAGGGGTGTTTTGGTGTTGACTTCTCTGGAGGGGCTGACCGTCTTCATTTCTGTGACACATTTTTAGCAGTCAGAAATGGTAATGTTTTTTCAACAAGAATACGACCTGCTATCAGCCCTGGTATAAAATTTGTACATGTTCAACAGCAAAAATTCTGTAACAAATGTGAGAGCCAGAACAGTGGGGTGTTATTTTGTTTCGTTTTGGTCAAATGCCACAACTGTAATAGATTCTTAGCACAGCACGGCCACTTTTAGGCTGAGATCCTTCTTTAGAGAAAGCATAGCTGTGTAATTGGAGAAGAAAGAAAAAGGCATGCTACTTACCTTGGCAGTCTCTGTCTGAGCTTGTAGCAAGAAGACTGCTATGCACTGACGATACCTATTTTCATGCTGTATTAGGAAAGCATTTCGCAAGCTGAAGACTGTGGAAAAAAATATGGAGAAATTATATAAATTCCCACATGCAGGTGTCAGTCCAATTTTATATCACATTGTCTGATTATGATTGAAGAAATTATACATGTAATCATCTTTTCTGGTTCTTCACAGGGCAATGCACCCTGATAGGGTTAGCTTTGTGTTGTGCGGGAAGCTTTGTTACTTTAAAACATTAATTCTGCTTGCCTTGGTTTTATTTTTAATTGCTTTATCATTGTGTGGCTACGGTGCTTTTGAGTCTACCTGAGGATCATTAAGAGAAGTTTCCATTCAAAATGGACTAAATCATAACCGAAGTTAGAGAAAAACTAATATAAAAAATTAAAGAGAAAGGCCCCATTTTTCTGCCAAGACAAGGCAGCGTTTTTCTGAGTCTACTACAATTGACATATTATTCGATAAACTTATCTAGTTCATATAGTTTGCTCTGAAGTCTTGTGCTATGTAGAATATCTTGCTGCTGTGTAATGCTGCTTGTCCAAATGTTTCCAAGTGCTCTACAGTCAGACCTCAAAATGTTTCTGGAAGATAAAGTGTCCTACAATCCTAGTTTTGTAGAAGAGGCAAGTGGAGGGCAGACTGGTTAAATTACTGCAGCAAATCAGTTAGCAGCTGAAATTTGCAGCAGCAGAGAGGCTATGTTTCACAAGTCATGCCTTCTGCCTGTCTGTGGTCAATAGGAAATACAATTTTGCCATCCTAAAAATGACTCCTCTGGGCAATGCTCAACACCAAGCTCTCAGTAATGTTTTCTAAAAGAAATTCCATGGCTGTAAAGATTACCACAGTCTTTGATAGAGTGACGTACCAGTGGATCTGGCTCCTTCAAGCTTGGTGTAAAGTATTATTAGTGGAGCAGTAGTAAGTAATTGCAAAGATTAAATCCAGAGCAGAATCTTAAAAGGAAAGCAACTCCTAATCAGAAAGTATGTTGTTGCTTACTGTCTTCAGAGATGGGTTCCTACTATTACACTTACATATAAAGTTACATCTCTTATACAAGGTCCTGGCATTGCGGATAGTTCTGCCATTAGGGTAGCTTCTCAGTGTTAAGAGTACATCACTATACCTCTTATCCCGCCACTGACACGTGGCAGGCTTTGGGCTAGAGTTATCCTGCATAATTATCAGCCTCCTGCCTGCTCACAGAAAGGTATTTCTATGATATTGCAAGAGATATTTTTTTCTAGTCCTTCTATTCAGGTACATTTCTTTCCAAAGAGAGATCAACCTTCAGCAAACTAATGGATGCAAAAGTACTTTTTACATCAAAAATCAGGGTTTTGGTTTTGGTTAACATGATGGTTCGCTGCAAGTCACGTGCTGTCCTGTCTGGGAACACGCTAACTAATCTTTTAATGCCATCAGTAGTAAAAGTCTCCTTGAACTGCAAATAAATTGGCAGCATTCCCTGATGTCGCACATTCTTGAGAATATTTAATCTTTAATCTTTTCTTTTTTTTTTTTTTTCCTGCAAAGGGAGATTTTCCAGTGATACTAGAAGTTTTCCTTGTTGCTTTACACAAAAAGGTGGAAATGCGAACTGCAATGTCTCCCTATAGTAATTTTTCACACTATTTTTACTGTACCCCACTCCAATGGGTCCTGTACTAGAATGGGGCTTCCAAGGTGGTACAATCTATAGGCAAGTAACAGAGACTGCTGTAGCTACAGCTGTAATAAAGCTGGTAGGACTGTATGGGAGACAAGTCAGGCAATGAGGTCCAAAGTGCAGGGAAGGGCCATAACCAGCGGCCAGGGCCTGGGCTGGGATGCAGCAGGTAAATTTGTTCTGCTGGTTGCAGCTGGATCACGGGGATAAGAAGGACCATGATTAGAAATCTCTGAAAGTAGCAAATACTGGCTTGGAAAAAAAACCTCAGAAATCTTATTCCCATCTCCAGTGTGTCTTTTACACCCAGTGTTGTACGTGCAAAGCGGAGGGTGGCTGCGCCGCCCTCTCCAGCGCCCAGGAGCTGCCGACCTTGCATTTGGTCCAGGCTTAGGCAGGAAGGTGGGGCTGCCCTCCCTCCACCCTGCGGGCGAGAAGTGGCTGCTGGGTCTGCTTCACTACTGCTGGGCTGGTAGGGAGACTGCTTAGGCAGGCAGACAGTGCCTGGAGCACATTTAAAAAAGAGATTACCCTTCTCTGTTTTCATTCCCTTATCTCATCTTTAGTCATTTACCTTTTGTTACCTACCTTTGTTTCCTGTCATCACTGATGCTGAATACTAATTACTCTGGGTGAATATATTTCAAAGTAATAAATCTTATGGTCTCTAGGTTTATTTTCCATATCTATTGATTTCCTACAGAGTTTCCTCCCAGTCTTTAGAATTAGAATGGCTGACAGGCCCTGGAGCCTGGAGATTTGTATTTATTTCTCTTAATTCGCTTTGATGTAGGAGGCTGCTGGGATCTGGGCAATGTTAGACTGAGGTGTGTGAGAGCCCATATGAGAGGCTCGGACCAAGGGGAATTCTGATTTTTCATGCCTGCCCCCTCACCCAAACTCTGGTTTGGTGACTCCAGGGGCGTAGTTTTGGCAGGGTAAGGCTGGTCACTCTCTGGGGAGGTCAGTTCTCCTCCCCTCTCCTCGCCCAAGGGCACAACAGCAGATGTTACTGTAGGTGGTTTCCCCTGGCGAGGCATTTGGATGTCTGTAAGCAAGGAAGCAGTGACATACGGCAGGTGATTTCCATCCATCTGAGAGCCAGCGGCGAGGTGAGTAGGAGCAGCAGCAGAAGGTAAATCTCTGCAGCCTCCTCAAGAACTGCTGCTGTGCACGTGAGGACACCCAGGAAAGCAGTGCAGTGGGGTGCTGGGCAGTGGGACAACTGAAAAAATGCTGCATAACTAGTAAGGGATTGAAAATGTGCTCGGGAAAGAGGCTCGGGGTTTGACAGAGCCTGTTAGAACAGTTAGGGAAAGGAAATACTTGGTTCACGAGGAAGAAGTCATTGGAGTCTTGATGCCTGCTTTGGGGTATATGGATAACATCTGACAGTGACTGGTGCGTATGTGAAAGTCGCTGTTAGAGGCAGGGGGGCGTGGAGCGTGATGTCTGTGTCAGCAGGTCATGCCTCACGGTAAGAGCAGAGCTGTGAAGCCAAATGCTGGTGAGGCACCGGTGTTTGCACTCTGGGCACCTGGGGGTGGCTTGTGGGCACACAACGCCTTACCCTTACACTGCCGCCCATGCAACAGGTGGAGATGGTATTTACGAAGACGTTCAAACGCACGTGGGTACGTACCTGTAATGTGGACGGGGTCGACGTTTTTCAGTACTAGTCTGTCTAGTGGGATGGGCTGGTCTAGGACTGTGCAAAACCCACCCTCTCTTATGAGCGACTGCAACTCAGGAGTGAGGGAAGGAGAGATAGGGATTAAGCTGGCGTCTGAGCCCCTGTATTTCTGGGAATAGAAAATGAAGTTGGTTAGCTGGTTGTCTCCCATCTGCTCATGAAGCATAGGCACTAAACAGCTATAAATTATGTTTTTTTCTCTTATCAAAGGCACTCAGACAGCTTATATGCCTGAGGAACCTCAGAAAAACTCATCGATACCTGGAGCTCTCGTGCAAGGTCACACATTGTACTAAAAAAGCCACAGCAGAAACACGATACAAGTCCACAGGCAGAAAACAGTCATTCTAAGGTCTTCAAAGGTCTGTGTTTTCCCCTCCCTGCCTTATTTTAATAGCAGGACTTTTTCTCCATTTGTAGGAGGTGCGTTTCCCCATCTCCCCCAACGTACACGCAAAACACAGAATTGCTGGCTCTCCAGATGGGTTGCAGCCCTTCACAGAAGATTCACCAACACGTGTACATGGGGCAACCTCAAAGAGACTTGCCTGAGAGCACCAGGACCCTTGAATTCCTGCTTCTTTCGTCCCCCCCATTGCTAAAGGGTGGTGCTGCTGTTCTACCATTTCTCGCTGCATGCCTTCTCTACCTATCTGTCTCCTACAAAGGCAGAACAGGTACTTCTTTGAAAAAAAACCCCAAGAAGTCTTTAAATCAGACACAAACTACTTGAGATTTAGCACAGGTCTTGTCAGCCTTAATTTTCATCATCTTCATAGCCTTAATTTACATCATCTTTATAAACTTAATTAGCTAAATATACCCCTACACTGAAGCTGTAGGAATTTCAGGTCATCCCATGCCTTTTTTTGGTGGCTCAATACGGGTATTTATCATCTATAGCACTCAATCTATAGCATCTACCATCAATAAAAATTTTCTTATGAAGAGTAATTTTATCTCGATTTTAAACTAGGGGAAATCAAGGTAAAGAGAGGACACATAGAACAGGCTGTGCTGGAACAGAGAAAAAAGCCAACCTTCCATCCATTTTACCATTTTTCTGTTTTCTGTCATCTTCTTTTATTTTATTTACTTCTTTCCAATAGCTCTCATATCTCTGTGATAAAAATTTCTCTGGGAGCTGGACTGAGTCATGAGGGGAGCATTAGAATTCTTGAAACTTTTCTGAGCTTTAGCAATCCAGCATATCCGAACAATATC